CCCGTGTAGCCAAAGTGTCATGCCCGTGTAGCAATTCCCTTCTTACATTACGTACCCTCCTTTCAGCAGCAGTACTTTTGCATCCGACGTCTTCCAGCACACGCTGGACCGTGATCTCATATCCATGGCGACGACCTACGACGGGGTCGACCAGGTCTACGCGTTTCTCGCCAGCGTCCCCAAGGAAGAATGGTTCCTTGCCTTTGGGAAACGCAACAGGCTGGTGAATGAGCTTTCGACGCCGTATGCCATTTATAACTGGGAGCTCGGTGCTCACGCCGTCATGCTGCTCATGGAGAGGCTCCAAGCCACTCAGCAGTATGATCTCGCCCTCAAGGTGGCTCATTTCGTCTTCGATCCGACCATTGACGGCACCAGCCTTGCTCGCTGCTGGCTATTCCCTCCATTCATCGAGCTCGCCGACCCTGCAACACCCATCAAGTCTATACAAGACATCTTGCAGGCCCTCGAACCGTCTACCGGCGCAGAAGACGAGATGAACACCAATATTCTCCAATGGCGCATGAACCCCTTTAATCCTCATAGTGTCGCTCGTGGAAGGCCGCAGGCATATATGCGTAGGATGATCATGAAGTACATCGAGATACTGATTGCGAGCGGCGATGTCTACTTCCGTCAAAACACACTCGAGGCCGTCCCATTTGCCATCCAACGCTACGTCGAGGCTTCCCACGTCTTTGGCTCGGCGCCCATGCAGGTCCCCAAGTACACCAAGCCCGTGTACAAGTCCTATGGGGATCTGGACAAGGATTTTAACGACTTCTCCAACGCCGATTTCGATATGGAACTGGACTTTCCCTTTTACAGTGACCCGGCCACCCGAGGCAACGCCGGCGGAAACGGGATCGGCGGCGGTGCCGGCGTTACCGGTATCCTCAAGTCTACATACTTCTGCGTCCCTGCCAACCCGAAGCTCATGGAGCTCCGCAATCTCATAGATGACCGTCTCTTCAAGGTCCGCAACTGCCAGGACATCAATGGCGTCGTCCGAAGCCTCGCCCTCTTCGAACCGCCCTTGGACCCCGGTATGCTCGTCCGAGCAGCAGCCAGCGGTGTCGACATCTCCAAGCTCCTGGGCAATACTGTCGGTCCCATGCCAAACTACCGCTTCCAGCTGTTGCTGCAAAAGGCCTTTGACATGTGTGCCGAGGTCAAGGCCATGGGTGCTACGCTGTTGACCATCAAGGAGAGCAAGGATACTGAGGCTCTGTCGAATCTCCGTGCTCGTCAAGACACTGTCATTCAAAGGCTCATGATAGACCTCAGAAATATAGCAAAGAAGGAAGCCGAATCGAGCATCGACGCCCTTGTCGAGACGCGCAAGGCCCAGGTGGCCAAACTAGAATACTACCTCGCGCTAACAGGCACAGACGACAAGTCTGTCCCAGGCGAGAACCAGGAGTGGGAAGACATAGCCCAGTCGATTGAGAAGCCCACAACGGACGATCTGCGCATGAAATCCTATGAGAAGCTCGAAATGGAGAAGTCCGAGGCTGCCGCGGTGCTCAACCAAAAGGCTAGCGCTATGGACATTGCCGCGAGTGTTATCAAGCTCATACCAGATATCGAAGAGGAGGCCGAGCCGCTGGGCGTTGGCGTCTCCCTCGGGTCCATCACCAGCAACGTATCCGAGTCCATGCTGATCATGGCCAATGTCTTGCGTTTCCAGGGCCAGTACTTCACCGACGAGGGCGCAAGGGCATCACGCACGGGTGCCCTGGTTAAACAGCTTCAAGAGCGACGTTTCGAGGCCAACGCGGCCGGCCGCGACATCAAGGAGACAGACAAGCAAATAGCGACATGCCGCATTCGCGTCGACATGTGTGAGCGTGACATCCAGCTCCAGCAGCAGCAGGCTGCCTACGCAAAGGACATGGAGGACTGGCTCAGGAGGAAGTACAGCAGTGAGCAGCTCTACGTCTGGATGGAGGGCGTTGTTCAGAACCTGTACTACCAAACATATCTCCTCGCCGATGACCTGGCGCAAAAGGCCCAGGCGGCCTTTATGTTTGAAAAAGGCGATCGCTCCGTCAACATTATCGGCCCGTCGTCCTGGGACGGTGGCAGAGACGGCCTGTTCTCTGGCGACAGCCTCTTTCTCTCCCTCAAGCGCCTCGAGGCAGCTTGGATGGAGAAGAGCATGCACGACGTTGAAGTCGTCAAGGACGTCTCGCTTCGCCAGCTTCGACCATGGGCCCTGCTGGTGCTTCGCGAGACCGGCATGGCCGAGTTTGATCTCCCCGAGGTCCTCTTCGACTTTGATTTTCCAGGCCACTACTGTCGCCGCATCAAGTCCGTGAGCCTGACGGTCTCGTGTGTCCTTGGGCCTTGCACCGGCGTCAACGCCACGCTGACGCTTCTTGAGCACCGTTACCGAGTCAAGGCGGACGCCAAGGGCTCTTCAGACTATCCTCAGAAGACGTCGGATGAGAGATTCCAGACAGACCAGGTGCCAATCTCCTCCATCGCCGTCAGCGGCGGCCAGCAGGACAGCGGCGTCTTCAACCTCGACTTCAGCAGCGAGCGATATATTCCCTTCGAAGGTGCCGGGGCGGTGAGCAGATGGCGACTCGAGCTACCTACCGCCGTGAAGCAGTTCGACTACGAAACCATCAGCGACGTCGTCTTGCACGTCAGCTACACGGCGCTCCAGGGCGGTGCCGGCTTCCGCAAGGCAGCTTCCGACTCTGCCGTTGCCTTCCAGAAGACGGTCGCTGATCTCTCAGACACGGAGGGCATGTTCGCCGTGCTAGACCTCAAGAGCGACTTCCCCACGGAGTGGCAGCAGCTCATCTCGGCCGATCCCTCCAAGCCCTCAACGATGCCTCTTGCTGCTCTGCAGGATCGTCTGCCCTTCTTCACAAAGGGCAAAGTGGTCAAGGCCGAGACCATCTCTGTCCTCGTCGCGTCCGAGTCGGCCATCGACATGGAGAGGGACATTGAACTGAGTGCCTCGAGCAAGATTCCTCTAGGGGCCGGGACTTCCATAGGATCATACCAGGTGGCCACGGCAGCAAAACAGGCAGCCACCGTTTCAGACTGGCGTATCACTCTTCAGCCAAAGGCGATGGGTGCGAGTGTCTCCAATATCCTGGTTGTCATGAGATATACGATGTAGGAGGGATATAGATGGCAGACTGCTTTCGCTTCGGTACTCCCTGAACTGCGATATCCTAGGTCCTTGCGGGGGACTTCTACTGCAAGACTCAATGGTCACCTGCGCATTCTCCGTGTCAGACTTGGAAGGTAAGGTGTCAAGTAGGCCCAGAATTTTCTTGCAGTTCCGTGGTGCGGCTAGCCATCTAAATGCGGAAGGCTTCATATATCACGTTTGTATTACATGGTGTCAGCCTTTTCCGGCCGAGACGCAGCGATTGGCACCGCTGTCTACGCGGCCTATATGGTGCTAGTCGAGCAAGAGATATGAGGCCTGTTCGATTCGTACCCCTTTGGCCCCTGGTGGTGCAGTGGTCTACGGTTGGGCCACAAGCTCGATGGCCCGGTGGGCTCGTCTGTATGCAATCTAGTCTTATTATCCGCTTATCAAGTCATCATATGCGTAGTACGTTACACGACCAAACCTATAAGCAGTGAGCAGGTATATCATGTAAATATGTGAACAATTCTTCTAAAGCTAGCTGTAATAAGCCCACTTAGATTCCAAGACTGTAGTCTATTTTATCTGTAGCAGCTAAAGCACGACTCGAACAAACTTTTCCCAGCCACGTGGCTTCTGTGATCCACCCAGCGTTAAGAACCAGGTCCTTGATAGTACTTGAAATATCATTCAAGCTCCTGTGATCCACCCAAGTGCCAGAATTCAAACCCAGCTTGTTGAAAGCTCCGTCTTAAGAACCAGGTCCTTGATACTTGAAATAGGGAATTGCTACACGGGCATGACACTTTGGCTACACGGGCATGACTCTTACACGGGCATGACTTTTACCACTTCTGATTGGTCGCATTGTCTCTGTTAACGACGCTGGATTCTGCCACCTCAGCCGCAAGTACCTGGGCCATTTTAACCTTGCTTCTGTGTAAATTACTTCATTTCGGCTAAGCTACTACGCAGCAACCCAGTGGTCGCGCAGTCGGGGCGACCCCCTCGAGCTTGCTTTCTTCATTTTCGTAGCTTTTAATAAACCATAATACGGCACCCTATGCTGTAGAGATAGCGACCAATTCTTTCACTACAATCTTGTTCTCTTCTCAAGACGTCAATGTCTTTGCCTCGCACACCTCCTCGCAGGTCGCGGAGCCCTAGTCCCAGTGATCAATCACAAAGAGGAAAGCGACACAAATCCAGTCGGCGACGCAGATCTAGTCCTTCCACAGTTGAAGACCGACCACAATCCGCGAGTAGCTCTGCTACGAGTATCGGTCAGTTCTACGGCCTCGGGGACGAAAATGCACTCGATAACCTGTTCGCCTCTTTCCCGCAAACACTTTCAAGTCTCCCACACCCCCATGGTTCACAGGGCCGCCATGAGCCTGCATGGGGCCTTCGATCTGACTATGAGATATATCTTCAAAATGACTTCTTCCGTGGAAAAAGATGGAGCCAGCGAGTCAGAGCGCTTATACCAGGCCCAGAATTTGATCCATTCGCCTCTGAACCTCCCGAATCACCCCCATCCGCCCAGCATCTCCCAACAAGGACAAGAGCCGAGTTCGAGTCCGCAATGCGCATAGTACGAGAGGTTACCGGCGAAGGTCGAAGGCTAACTGTAGACCTTGCTCGATCATACGAACGTGTACAAGCTTGGCGAGAGAGATGGGGATGGTCACCATTAAGTTTCGAAGCATATGACTCTCCTCCACCGTACTCTCCACCTCGTAGGTCACCCACACAACCTCCTCGAATATCACCGACGCCCGAAAATATTAGTTCCTCGCCTATGCGACAGTCTCTATCTCCCGCCCCGGAGCCAATTCCGAACCCAATAATCCCTGGCGACCCAGCGCCCTCGGCCGAAGTTCTTTTTAAAACAACCAACGCATTTGCAAAGGAGAACGGATTTGGTATTATTCGGCGGAATAAATATTCCTATAAGGGACGGTTGATTAGGTACTCCATTCAATGCGACCGGTTTGGACAATCTCGGGCCTCGGGGGGTTCTGGTCTTCGAACCCGAAGGTCTCGGAAGTGTGATTGCAAATGGATGATAATTGCTGAAGCCCTAGAGGAAGGCAAGTGGCTTCTTCGACAACATAGAGACCCGAAACATCACCAGCATAACCATGAACGGAGTATTACGCCATCTGCGCATGTTTCCCACCGCCGCCTTACTACACCAGTTAAAGCAACCATCGAGTCAGCAAGCCGTCGCGCGGGTATTCGAGCCAGTGATGTAGCTGCTATGGTTGAGGAGCAATTCCCCGATACAACACTCCTGCGGAAGGATATCTATAATGCCCGTTCGTTCATTAACCGAGAGAAGCTAAATGGCTATACACCTACTGCGGCATTGATCAAACTCTTTGATGAGAAGAAGATCCCATACATCGCGAAATGGGCCGATGATGATCCAGATAGACTGCTTGGTCTTGTCTGGACCTTTCCGTACTGTCTACAGATGTGGAAGCGCTTCCCCGAGGTTATTAGCTTTGATAACACATATAACACTAATCGCTTCAAGCTTCCTTTATTCCAGGCTACTGGCCAAACCTGTCTTGGAACTGTGTTCAATGCTGCATTTGGCTTAATAGATAACGAGAGGAGGGAGGGGTTCCAATTCCTTGCAGAGAGTGTTCGCAAGCTCATTACAAAACACTCACTCAGGGAACCAGATGTCATCATCACAGACTTCGACAAGGCTATGAAAGCTGCCGTTAATGATCAGTTTCCAAATGCACAGCAACAGCTTTGTATTCATCATATCCTTTCAAACGTTTTGCTTAAATCGAAGACTAGGTGGACGGGCCAACGTGAGGACAGTACTACTAGCCCTAGCGCTAGTGACAGTGAAGACATTCCCTCACAGGCGGATGGCGGGTTGAGCACTACAGATAAGCATCTGATCGAAGATCGGTCGAGTAGTGATAAGATTCCTCATACTTACCAAGGCGTTGTTTTAATGTGGAAAAAGGTTCTCTATGCCGAGACTGAGGAAGCGTTTGAGCAGGCATGGAGAGATCTTTGTAAAGAGTTCGACGACCAACGAGCGATCTTACAATACCTCTACTCGACTTATATGCCTGTTAGTGCTCAATGGGCACGTTGCTTTATCCGTCGTTATCGTAACTTCGGAATCCGAGTTACGTCCGGCACAGAAGCAAGCAACAATAATATCAAAAGCTATCTATTAAATGGCATGAGCCACCTCTACCGACTCGTCGAGGCAATGCAGGATATGATACATGACCAAGAACGTGCCTTTAAGGATGCCTGTGGACAGGATGATGTCCTGACTGCTCCACAATACCTAGGTTCGATGGGAAACTATCTTGGTGAACTACGAACAACCATGTCATCGAAAGGACTTGGGTTAATCAACAAGCAATACTGTATTGCTCGCAAATTTCTGCCGACGGGGAAGAATCCCTTCCCCGACTCTATTGGACTTTGCGACGACGACTGTACGGTCTCTATTGAGCTGGGAATCCCATGCTATCATAAAGTCTACGCAAAGCTAGATTCTGACACACGTTTCACTAAATGGGAGGTCCACCCACGCTGGCGACTACGGGAATCGGCATCTCAAGATCCATACCGACGAATTCTTGACCCGAAAGTTGCCACTGCACTACGTGGAAGGCCAAAGAATACAGCGCAGGTTATCCCAGAAAGCCTAGCTATTACATCAAGTAGCCGATCTGATAATCAACCAAGTGGGCGACGAGGTCGACCGCCAGGAAGTCTCAATAAGCCAACTCTTGCTAGGAGAGTGCATAAAGCTACTCGAGAAACCATCACACAAACTGGTGGCCAAATTGGCATCTCAGCCCAGCAAGGGCCAGGTAGACCTTCTAAAGTCCTAAATGCTGGGAATACGACAGGCGTGCGGTACAGTGGACGGAGGACGCAACGAAACATTCGCAGGACAAGGAGTCAATGGGAACTGGCTAAGAGTGATGACGAAGATCCAGATTGTATCGTTGTGAGGCAATAAATTAAGTAGACCACATCACGTCTTTTGCCAGTATTTGACAGTTACTGGCTAACAGTACAAGGACGGTAGTTTAATCCGAAATGCAGGCTTGCAAGATAGCAGAAGACCAATCGCGCCCACAACGATAAGTGACTGCAATTCATGGTGATGTAGGAGCTTGTTAGTGAAGTTGGCTACACCGCCTTTCCGAGGAAGTATCTGTGGGGCCAAGAAAGTATGCGACCAATCAGAAGTGGTAAAAGTCATGCCCGTGTAAGAGTCATGCCCGTGTAGCCAAAGTGTCATGCCCGTGTAGCAATTCCCTTGAAATATCATTTAAGCTCCTGTGATCCACCCCAGTGCCAGAAATCAAACCCAGCTTGTTGAAAGCTCGGTGTTAAGGACCAGGTCCTTGATGCTTGGAATATCATGCAACAAACAAAAAATCAGTGTGCCAGGCGTCTGTTGTCTGTCCTCCTTGGCGAAAAGCTGGTGACGTGCCGCCAACCGGATTGTTGACAAGGCTGCGTTGCGAACAGGCCAGCATTGTGAGTTTCGTCGTCGGTCAAAGGGCACCCTTCCGCAGCAAGTTCAAAGTTGGCCTTGGCCTGTAATCGGCGGCGGACTTGCCAAAACGTCTAGGTCGACACGGAATCTCCGGACGCATGGAAGACCACGTTTCTCAGCGACTCGTCACGCAAGAATTCGCGGAGACGCACGGCGCGCGTTGTGACCCGGCAATCTTTCCCGTACCGGATCGTCCGGCGCCTAAACCAAACGTCAACTGGCGAGTGCCCAGGAATGAGCTCGACGTGGTTGCACTCTGGATCATCGTCTTCAGTCAAGTCAACTATAACCTTGTCGCAATCCTGGAGGGTAGACACAAAGGTGGCGAATTTCTCAGAACCTCCAAGCTCGTTCTTGAGCAGTGAGATGGTATTGATGCCCTCGTTCGCATAGTACCACGCAGTTTTGTCTGTAAACTTGGCCATCAAGTTGCCCAGACAACTGTGACTGAGAGCCACTGGCGGTAACCCGGGGGTGAAATTGACCTGAGCCGCCACAGTCGGTAAGAATGCAAACAAAGCAGTGAGGCAAACGTATAATAGATTCAAGCGAGCAGGGCCGTACGGTGGGCTGGCTCGCTTCGTGTGCCCGCCGGTAGCGGTGGCGAAGCGTTGGCCATTGCTCCCAACACGTGTTAGACTCGAGTGCCCGGGCGTAAGGAGAGAAGCAGCCGGCATGTTGGCTTGTCGTTGGTGTTGTTGCATACAGGCACAAACTAGGTTGAGTCACCGTGAGGGCCACTTGGCGGTGCTTGAGCGATGATACACAAGGAGAGTAGGAGGGTTTGAGGAAGGACCGAGCTCCAACTATTTATATGCCACATTTGAGAGCCAGGTCGTCTCCTCACGAGGAAATTTGTGCGCGGCTTAAGCGAACCCTGTGGGTGTATAGCAGAAGAAATATGATACCTTGCTATAAGTTCATGGATAACCCTAAGCGCTCCCCCGCGGACATTTCGCGAGAAAATTATTTGGGAGAAGAGCTTAATGTTGAACCTTTACCGCTGATGGTGTTTCTTCTCCACGGCAGTCGTCGTCGTATTTCCCAGTGATGCGTAGACGTGGCAGAACCAGGGTTGTTGGGCAAAGCGGGATGTAGAGCGAAAACAGCAGGCCTTGGCTGCAGCTTCCTGCTTTGCCTTAATGTGATGTATAATAGTCGGAGCGTCCCTAATCACGTGCAACATCGCCAACCTCACAATTTAGTGTTGAGCCGACTGCATGCCTTAGCTCGCCGCAAGCGGCCCGCGGCAGGGTCCTTGGACGGGCCGTAGAGGGAGTAATTTGAAAAAACATCACCAGTATAATAGGCATTTAATATGGTGTTTTGGCATTTTATAGGGACTAGCAGGGAAGAATAAAGGCTTGCCACAACTACATGATTATGTAAGCACCGCCCCCCCTTCCCCCCCGGGGCGCTTTGCCTACCTTTTTAATATTTCGATTTTTGATTTTGGTTTTTTATCTACTTTTTTAATCTGTTGAAGTAGATCCCTAGCCTCTAGGTCAACGATTCGTGTCGTTGGCATCAGGGTCTTGCTCACAATTCACTCTACTACTGTCGCCAAACAGTCTGCATGCATCGCGAGCTCAGCTCATACCCGGACGGTGGCGACTGCTCAGAGTGAGGCCGACGAGGACACCCTCGTGTGTGTGCTTCTGACGACACGCCCATGCTCGCATCTACGGTGTCCCCAGAGCGGAGACGGCAGAAGATGTCGATAACGGTTGCTCTAGACAGAGTGGATTCTGTACGGTCCTGGAACTTGCGCATGAAAATAAACCCCAAGTCAAAGACTCCTAGTGTGCCCCTGCTGTCGAGCCGGAGGAATCTTGAGCTATCCCCGTGAAAAGGGAAACGAAAAGCAAAAAGAGAATCAAATTATCAAAAAAAAAGGGTAGAAGAAGAAGAAGAAGAAGGAGAAAAGAAGAAAAGAAGAAAAGGAAAAAAAAATGCAAAATCAATAGAGGACTAGGGTAACCAGGGCAGGCGAACCACGCTCAAAGCAACAGAGCTCAGCTCGAGACAACAATCGACTTTCGGTTCAACAGACCTTGGCTGAGTCCAAGCTCTTGTGTGACATGTTTAGAAGGCCCTAGCTATACACGAAAGACAAGGTTTGGCGCCTGAGCCACAAGTTGCGCGGCGTGCCTCTTTGCTGCCTTTGAAGCCCTGCATATCTAGCCTCCATCGTACCATCGTGTTGCAACACGTTGGTCCAAGAGGTGAGTCGGCGACAAGGGCTGTGTGTAGCAAGGCTTGAAACAATGACACGGATCTTCCATCAGCTTTAGGGCGCCAGAGGTTGTTGGTTCATCGCGAGGGACCTGGTCCCCAAGGCCGCTATAGATACAGGCTCCGACACGCGGAGACATGGACGATGCCTCACGCAAAGCCCCTTCCTTTGTCGGGCTCGCGGGCCCAGGCTCCCGTCGTGGCCTTGTTGTGTAATCTGGCTTTGGGGAGGCCTTACCATGTGACATAAGTTACAACCCCTTTGTTGTGGCCAAATGGATCGTCATGTAAGAAGTGCTGACGGCCTTCAAAAGGGGGGTTGCAGCGCAGAGTCTTGGGAACTCTCCGTCCGTCTTCCCTTTTTCCTTCCACATGAACGCTTCCTCCTCGCCACGATCCTGCATGCACTGCGAGACTAGAACCCATGGCTGATTCTACTGGTAATCGCAGACTGGTCGGAGCTCAGAGAGCTCTAGCAACCCTGGAGATAGATTCGCGCCGACTCGACGGCGAGAGCGCGCGATTTAGTCCCCGTCCACCGCCACATAGGTCGACTCCATCGCCTCGATCTGCGACGCCCGATGACCTGGGCGAGGAGCGGCGTACGCGGTCCGACGGTCAACGCGCTTCGAGTGAGGAGCGACGACGACTCCGCCGGGAGCAACTAAATCAGCAACTAAGAGACCGCAGTGCCTCCAAACCAATCGATCAATTCGTCGCCCAGACCCACGAATTGGCGGAACAGATCAGGGAGGCAGATGCGAAGAGAAGGCAAGGAAACCATAAACAAGTAGTCGACACTTATAGGCAAGGCATCTCTAGAGAATCAGCAATATTCGTATACATGGCGTTCCAACAGTAAAAATGTGTTGAATCTCATGGCAGACCATTAGAGATGGACGACCCTCGGTTGTGGGCGGGTGCTTGGGAAGCCTTGAAACAGCTCGTACAGCCGTTTGCATCCACGTACCACTGGAAATTGCTCCTCTTTGACTCTTTGTTTCCGTCTTGTCGGGGATGGCGAACCAGTCCGAACTTGCTCCCACACTTGACGCTTGGAGCAGTGGGCTCAATTCATTCGTTGATTCGATGGACCGCTTGGTCATGTCACAAGGTGGAATCAATTGCTTGCGATTCTGAAGCATACAGGTATATATACATATATGCCTGCTCTTTACCCAAGCTTTGCAGTACACAGCGTATGATCCTTGACGCTTTCTCCGCCTGCGTTTGTGTCGACGCCACACTTCTCCAACGCGGCATGCCAGATACCTGCGTAGAATCGGCTTGACCAGCTTAGAAAGGGTGCTCTATTTCCATATCTTGCGTGAGTTGAACCACATCAACTGGGCTATCGTTGGGGGTTGGGGACTGAGGACTACTAGGAGAAAGATGCAGGAGCTCCTCGGGGTTATCTGATGCGATGTTCGGGAGACCCGGACCCAAAGCTTCGGGGTTATTGTTTGCAGAGCTCCCTTGGTCCTGATAGCTGTCTCCTTCAAAGCCTGGAAGAACGCCATTCGGAGGGTTGAATTGGTTACTGACCCCAGGAGAACCTTGGCCACCGGGGGCGACTGGGTTGCCGGCCGGAGGAGCAACTTCGAAGAATGGAAAGGACGGTTGGCTCGTCATAGGCTTTTCCTGCTCTTGTATGCGCTTCAAGACTATTTGGCGCATATCTCGGTGTTGCCCGGGGTCGAATTCATATTCTGCGCCAGGGCTGCAAGTTGTTAGCAACGTCGTGTTGGTCGCGGTGTCTCGCAGTGTCACCTCCGTGCTCCCCGGAGGGGGAGAAAAGGGAGAAAACAAACAGACGTACGTGTTAAAGGGCTCCATGACGTTTCTGACGGGTCTGGCTTGCCGTCGTAAAAGACGGCGCAGGGACCCTCGTCCACCCTGTTGCTGTCGTACATGGCCAAGGCCGAGAAAGTGGCCGATCTCATGCGTGGTCGTTATGAAGGCGGATTCCCGGGCATGAGATTGGGCTTCTCTTTTGCCCATCGCCACCCCAGGCATCTCCCCGGACGTCCCCGGCAATTGGCCAGCTACAGTGCCACGATGGCGGTCGGTCAGAGTAGCTTGATCGATGACGCATCCGTCTGATTTGCCTAGAGTCGAGGGAAATAGTCCCTCGGCAGGTTTCGGCTGCATGCACGTGCCCAAAGTTATTTCAGCCCCAGTGACGCTGCTGCTCTTTGGCGCTGTGTATACGATATTCAGGGTTGTCGTGTTGCCGCCGTAAGTGTCGCTCTTCAACTTGTCCATGGCCACATCGTCGTTAAAGCTGGCGTGGCACTTGGGGTGGGTAATGCAGTGGACACTCGGGTCCTTCAGGGCGATATTACCACCACTGAGATACGAGTTCACATCTGCAACGACGTCTCTGGCCAATCTTTTCATTCTTTTCTATCGCCGACGTGTCAGCAGAGTTCCAGTAGCCTTGACGCGCGCAGCACTCCAGAATAGCGGCCCACATGACAGTCCCCAGACTCCCCACCCTCAGGCTGGCAGAATTTAAAATTGGGCTGGAGTTCAAGTAACCTTCCGTCATCAGGAATGGCTTGCTGCCGCTTCAGGAGATCGCGAGGCTCCGGGCCGTGGTCCTCATTGCCGCAAACCCATCCAGGCTGGCTCCTGACTGCTATGGTGCGGGCCACCGAACAGGAAGCCAGGAGGCTCAAGGCGGCAAAGGGAAGCGTTACCATTGCGATGGCGTCGTCGTAACTGTGCAAATAGCTTGAGAGGTTTAAGAAGCGGGGGAGGTGGAAAGAATAGAAACAAGACTAGGCAAAGAAACACTTGTCTGTTGAACCTAGATTTTCCAATGCTGGCATGTTTTGATATTTTTTTTCCAACGAGAAAGGCTAGGTGCCAGCCAGCTTCTAAAATACTCCAGCCCATCACAGGTGTAGACCCAGCTAGTATACTGCTGTGCGGGAACTGAAAGGATTGCCCGTTGTCCATATTGATTTTCGAGACACCACGTCGTCAGATATATTGGCGTCGCGAGGCGGGCTTCAGCGCTCGAAACCTTCCAGCGTCCATCCCACCCATCAGACGACATGTCATCGACCAGTGGCTCGCGTGTCCGAGACTGGTCAACCCGGCTGAACTCGAGTCAGGCCGCCTGGTCGGCGCGCCACGCTCGTCATGGCCATGTGTCTTCGAGACATGAAACTCGTGACTTCACTCAACATCAAACGCATAATGCCCAAGTCCTCCAACTGGGGCAGTTCAACAGCATTGCCCACTGGCCCGGTGGCTGCAAGAGCATCGGGGCTGGTCCGCCCTTGCCTGAAACCTCGACTACTTTAATTTTATGCACGTCTTGGTCGTCAGAAGTCTCTGGACTGTGCTGGCTGCGTCCATGGTAAGAGACACGACGCCACGACCCGACTTGGCCATGTATGGACGCGGTGCAGACCAAGCACGTGCCATGGATTGTTTTCAAAACTTCGATTCAGGTCGCATTACGCAATATACCTGAATGCGACCAAGTTGCCCCTGTACGACCGTCTTTGCCCATCAGGTCTGCGCGCAGGTTTACTCATCTACATTGTACGCAGCCACTGCAGGCTCCTACCGGTATCGTTGCAAATTTAGTGAGTACCTCGTTCAACGCAGTCCGGCGGATCGGCTTGCTCAAGAACTCGTCCATGCCCGACTCCATACACTCCTTGACGTTGCTCTCTTCCGAAAAGGCTGTAAGTGCGACAATTGGTGCGACGTAGCCCATCTTGCGAATCAACCGAGTTGATTGCAGCCCATCGAGGTGAGGCATCTGGACATCCATGAAAATCAGGTCAAATGGCTGCTTCTCCTCCATATTGGCCTTGACTAATTCGCAAGCCTCGTGTCCATCTCTTGCTATCGTGACATTGTTCACTTTCTCGAGTTTGAGCATCCTGCTCAGCACCTCGATGTTGGTCGAGTTGTCATCTGCAACCAAAATGCGCACTTCGCCTCGACCTGCTTCGTCGGCCCTTGACTTCCGCATCGCTGCTCTTTGCTGGCCCCCGTTGTTCGGCGGCGGCGCAGGGCTCGGGGCGAAAAAAGGAGTGCCAAGACCAACCAGTCTGGGTTGGCTGTCTTCCCTTGCCGAAGAGAGGTCATTCTTTTTTGCTTCCTGTGCCTGATCCGCCTGTGACCCTACGCTTTGGGCCCTGGACGAAGCGTGGCTTGATGCAGTGCTGGTATGTCCATGTTCGACGTGTTTGAGCGGAATTCGCAGGGAAAATGTCGAGCCCACACCCTCCGTACTGTTGACACTAATAGAGCCATCCATCAGCTTAGCAAGCTGCGAGCATATGCTTAATCCGAGGCCACTTCCTCCAAATCTTTTGCTCAAGCTGGAGTCGACCTGCACAAACGGCTCGAAGATTCTCTCCTGCATATGCTCAGGGATGCCACTCCCAGTGTCCTGAACTTCAAACTCAAACAGGTACCGCTTGGCATTAGGCCGAGACGGCGTCAAGAACCGTTCCTGCCCATGGACGTGCCTGCCTGCCTTGGGGCCCTTGCTGCTCGATAACGCTGTGGTGGTGCTGTCCTGAAGCGCCGGGGCATGGGTTGTAGCCTTGCACTGCGTAGAGCCTGTGCTTTCCCTGTGCCGGCTTCGTCCGACCCGAGTAGAGCCGTTCTGGCACGGCCTGCCCTCATCGTTGCTTCGCTCAATCTCGCCGATGCAGCGTATGCAAACTTTGACCCTGCCTCCAGCCGACGTGAATTTCAAGCTATTGCTGACCAGATTAGTGATGATTTGCAGGATTCGATGGTCGTCTCCCCATAGATACACGTCTTCGAGCCGGCGCATGCCTGGCGGCCCGAGAGCGGGCAGCCCTTTCGAAATGCCATGCTGGTCTGATCTCGAGCGCTTTTCGTCGCATTCAAAACCGAGGAATGAAACTTCTAATGTGATGCTGCTCTCGCGAGCTTGGTTGTCAAAGATGGACATTATCTGGGATTGGATATCACCTAGGCGGAAATCCCTGTCTTCGAGTCTGATTTGCTGGCTAATTTGGTTCTTGGAGAAGCATAAAAGATCTTCGAGAAGATGGAGTAGCAATTCGCCTAAGGTTCATAAGTCATCAGGGTCTGCGGGAGTTTTGTGCCATGGCGGACAAACGTACCCGATCTGTAAAGGGTCTTTAGAGATTGCCGGATGCGCAAAACATCGTCGTCTTCCATGCAAACAGCACATATGCCCATTATGCCATTCAACGGTGTCTTCAGCTCATGTGACATGTTGGCAATGAATAATGTCTTGCTCTCGTTGGCAGCCTCGGCCGCCCTTTTACTGATCTCAAGTTCACGAGTTCTCTCGGCAACCTTTTCATCAAGAGAAGTGTACTGTTTCACGAGCTCATCCGTCATTTCATTGTACACTTGCGTGAGCTCCGTAAGCTCGTCGGTCACAAAGTGTTTTCGCTCTGCAACTCGCCCAGGGATCTTGAATATCCGACGATGATTGTCATTTTCAGCCTGCGTCATGGCTCTTCTCCGTTTCTTGGGCTTGCGATGAAAATTATCAAAGAGGCCTTTCATCGAGCCAGGTGAGCCCGGACCGGCTGAACTACGGCTATGCTCATCATAGCCTTCGGACTCGTCCTCGTATCCGAGCGGGGACATGGATTTTTCCGTCGCCATTTTGAGCCGTCTGATGGGCCCCACGCTGACGTGCGCGCACGGGATGATGAGAATCAAAAGTGATACAGCTGCGCCGAACACGCAACCAAGCAAAATCTGCCTCAGAGTGACGATTGGCGCGTAGGCTTCGCTATCAGCTTGTTCTACCACGATGGCCCAGTCAACTAGGGCTGACTGAGGACGGGCCACGCCCACGGCGACCGCCACGCCATCCTCGTTCCTCGTTGACAGTAGTGCTCTGGCATCATTCAGCTGCGAAGTGCGCTTGGTATAGACTTGCAAGACTGCTGGGTACTGAGAAAGCGTCAATAGGCTCGAGAAGTCGCCTTTTCTGTGGGCTCTCTTGACATGGCGGTCAGTCTGTCCGGCAATGGGGATAGGAAGAAGAACAAACTTCACAGTCGAGGCCGCCAAGGCATCAACCAGAGGCGAGTAGGTGCGGTTGGAAAGGAGAATGGGAGCCAGGAAATGGTTAGATGGATTTGACGGCCCCAGGAGCAGAAGCATGCCCGTTGATCCCAGGCCCTCACGACTTGTCTGAACCTCGAAAAGGGATCCAGCAGAAACAATTAGCGTCATGTAGCCAAGAATGAAATTGTGTACGCTGAGCGATCGCACGGGAACGGTGATGGACATGAGGGCAAAGGACTCGTTAATCATCAAGGGCCCAAGAAGAAGCCCGCCATGGTCGCCTATTGAGACGCCCGGAAAGGCAAAGGCGCCAAAGGCTGGGGTGGACGGCTGATATGGATCAGGATAGCCCGGTCTCTGATATGTAATGTTGGGATAGAGGTGCGGCGGGTAACCAAAGTCTGTGTCGCTGAGGTTCACTCTGGACCCATTGGGAGTCGAATACGGCAGCTGTATGTTGTTGGTCAGCGTACCCACGCCGCTGCCAGTGACATTGAGGAGACCACCGGGATTGGCGCCCGTGCTGTTTCTGGAGAATAACCTAGCCTGGAGGAGACCGGCAAGGCGATTCGTGCTCATGGCACTTTCCAGGTCGGCGCGGGCGGCGCTGAATGAGTTGGTCGCATTGTCATTGTAGAAGTTGACGAGTGCCTGCTGGAGCAAGATGCGAGTAGCCACAGTTTGACTGAGGGTTTGAAGCAGGTTAAGCTCGGAATCAATCCTTGCAGCCTTGAGAGAGGCGGTCAAGGATAGGCCGCTCGAGGCAACGCCAGTGACGAAGCTATGGACGAAGAACCACGTGGGAACGGACACAATGGCGAGGGCGATGAGGACGGTAAATATGACGAGCGCCGCAAGCTGTTCTCGGATCGAGAGTCTCATGCTGATGGATTCGGAACGGTGGACGGGTTGCCTGCCGGTCACGGCTTGGCTACGGGCGGCCGCGAAGCATTATTTGCCGGCTTGAACGAGTGCGATTGTGTTTTGACGGCGGCTGGTACGAGGGAGGGTGCCATGCAGCAGCACGGGGGAAGGGCGCGAGCCGGTCGATGGGTGTATTGTCGCGTAGAAGCAGCAGGAGCAGCTCTTCGGTTCGGTCGCAATGTCGTCGCCACAGTCGTTGCAAGTTGGATCAAGGGCCAAAGGGCAGGAAGTCGAGGTGGAAAATTTGAATGGCGCCCCTGGAATAACAGCGCATGGCCGTATCACGTCGCAGGCCTCGGAGGCATCTCGCTGCCGACGTTGACAACCTGGTGGCTTTGAGTGGCAGCAGCCACGGGGAGATTTGGTGCTGGAGGCATCAAATTAGAGCAGCCAACTAAACCTGGCAAAGTTGAGCCAAGTGAACCACCATTTGCAGGCCGGATCAACTGCTCCGTCAACGGGGAAGGAGCTCTTTGGCTCGCAGGCTCGCTGGCTTGCTGGCTTCCAGCTTGTGCTCATTGATGGTTGAAGGTTGATGCGACGGAGATGGACCATGTTCTAGACCTCGCGACTGTCTATAGCGTCTCGAGCGTCGCGACCGCAAGCAAATGCCATTGCTGACGACAGGGCTAGGGGTCGGGTCGGGTCGATTTTTTGGGTCAATACCGAGCAGCCAGTGGCTAGAGCAGCAAGCCATGGTGAATTCATACAACGATGTCTGGTTTTCGGGAGAATTTGGCAATCGGCGGGTGCCTCGCAGGGTGCGTGAGCTGCTGATCTGTGCGCAGCGGGGATGCGGCCCGAGATGACGGCTGGCTACCCTAGATCCGGATTGCCCGCAAATATGTTTATTTTCCTTCCGGGATGAAATAACGTGGCGTCCCTGGCCACGGCCCAACAAGTCACGAGGTGCTCCGTCAAGTACGGAGTACGGAGTACTTTGTGTTGGAGTTCAACGTGGCTCTGCTACGTGTCCGCGTCCGCGCGTCCCAAAGACGCTGGGCTATCGCAAGGGGCCACGACATACGGAGTACTCCGTACTGTCCACGAATTAAGCATACCTTAAGTACTAAGTTAACTACTTTAAGTAACTTAGTAGATAGGCGGAGTAGTACTCCGCACCCAGCACACCCATTCGTCTGGATAACAGCACGTCACACCCACGCCTGGTGTATCTATTATCCGATGAAAAGCCGTTGACTAGGGTCTCTGCCAGGCTGCCACAACCTTGATGAATTTAGCTCAGCTGCCCGAGTCAATTTTCGAACTGGTAATCAAAACCTCGTCTCTCCTCTTGGCTGGAAGGAGAACGCATCGACTGCCGCATGCATGCATGGGACAACGACGCGCATGCATCGTCCAAGTTGGTTGCGAGCTTTATTCTCGTGGCTTCCGCCTGCCGTCCACAGCTACAATGTGCAGAAAAATACGGGAATGACGCCGTAGACTTGAAGCGGACGACATCAACCATCTGATGCGTGTCAGAGGGCCCGCAAAACGCCGCGAATCAATTTTTTTTGTCACAACTCTCTTCAACACAACGCCCTTCTAGTGCTCCAACAGAAATCTATAATCCGAGTGGTCGCCCATCTCCGTACTCGCGCCTGGAAAATCTCACTCCCCCGCTGCTCCCTATGACATGCCATGCCTCACACCACGGAATCGGGCTCGGCCTTCCACATTAGGCAGCTACTAGCAACCAAGAGCTTTATTCCCGCTACCGTCCACAGCGAGGGGCCAACTGCGCCGGCAGCCTTGGAGATCCAGCCGCCGCAGATGGCTCCCACCAGGGTCAGGACAAATGCGATGAACCGGCGGTTGCGCTTGTCATTCTTGGCCAGGGAAAACAGGGCGGCATCAGACATGAGATCGCACAGCATGCTGGTGACTACAACGGTGGGAATCTCTCCCACCTTGAGCGTGCGACTGCTGACAATCTGACCGGCTGCCTGGAAACTCAGCAAGGCAATGATGATGAGCTCCTTGAAGTCAACGTCCGTAGGCAGCCGCTTAGACGGGTAGGAGCCGTCTATGACACCGCCCTGCACAATAGAGGCCGCGGCCATGACCAGGGTCGCTTGGATGAGAAACGAGAGCATCAAGATCCCCCGCCGTCTTCCGCCCAGGTAGAGCGCAAAGCGAGAAAAGGCAAACGAGCCGACGATGAAAAAGGCAATGGAACAGAGCGACCTGGCCCAGCCGTAGGGCTTGTTATTATATCCAGATGTGCCAAGTGCAACGAAAATCGTGTTTCCTAGGAAAAATGGGTGTCAATGACGCCGTACCACGCGGCGAGACTCATCGACCTCGTGGCGCTGGGCGAAAAACATACCCGTTTGCATTGACACGAATGTTCCGTACGCTGTCAGAAAAGAAAGAAACACGGCCCACGTTAGCCCGATGCACTCTACTGCGACCGGGCACGGTGCCAAGTTTGGACTGACCGTTGTATATGGTGCCGTCGGTCAGGCCTGACACGAAGCAACACGCTAGCATTGGCAGGTAGGCCAATTTGAGATCAACCTGCTGCCATAGTCTCCTGACGACTTGCTTCTCTTCTTTGCTCTGTCGGTCCGTGTCCGAGTCCGACCTGCCCGTCTTCTCCATGTTGAAACACCACCGAGAGACACTGAAGAGTGTGCGTTCAATTTGGGGCAGGAGAAAACAACAGCGAGAGAAAGTGAGCGTTGCTGACTGCGGCCGACGGAGTAGATGTGTCAGTTTTGTGTTTTATTTTTTCTCTTTGATGATTTTCTCTGGGGCCTTTTTTTTTCCCCTTCCCGCGCCAGGCTGTCGTCATGCAGCCTCTTTTTTTTTTTCGGAGCAGGAATGAAAGGAGAAGTGACGAGGATTTCAGCCAATCTGTGGACGCATTTGGTCGCGAACAATCTAATATCGACCCGCTTTATGGGGCGGCTCCCCTTGATCAGCCCGATTCAGTCGTCAGCCAAGCGAGTGACTCGAGACGCAAAGGCATGATGCTGAGCTTTGCCGCCCTCGAATCAAGCGCTACCGTCACGACATCACACATCACGGAGAAAAGTTGCTGGACAACTAAACAGGGTCGTCTGATGAGTTTCTCGTTTCCATCGAGTAGCTCATGCATGAGTTTCTGTTTCTTTGCCCGCCAAGGAACTTATGCCACGTAAGCCCAAGGGTATACATTACAAACCCAAAGCAACCCTTTTGCCCCGATGAATAATATCTCGATGCGACACCACGTTGTATTGGAAACCAGCTTCTCGGCTCTGAGAGAATCTGGGCCCTAGCTTAGAGAAAAGTCATCATTCATACGCACATGTTGTATTCAGTCCATCAGGCCGTACGTAAATGAGTGGTAGTAGCCATGCCCTGCGTGACGTCGCAGGGACGCCGGGAGCGACAACGAGACGGTTTCGTAGGTCGTCAAGGGACCGCGTGGGCGTATAAGAGCACCCTCTACTCTGTGCAAAACCTGTTTCTCGAGACCCCGTCTCTACTATAACACTAAGTTTAAATGTAGCAGGGTTCGATTGTGGATGGAGTGCATCTGACAATGCTGGTTGCGGTCCGCTCTTGTTCCCGCGGGACATTGTCGACAAAATACCCAGCCAGCGTCTATTGGGCGACGCACCTTGCCGGCCGCCGTTGGCTATGAGACGATGCAGAGATGGAGAAGAAAAGGGCAGTTTCAGCATGGTAATACGGCTCCATCCGCATCCCGTGTCATGCCGGGCTGATCGGGGTTTGTTGGTATTTTAGCAGCTTTCCTCATGTGGAGACGGAGAGGTTGTCATGTGGGCATTCCGACAACGGTTGGCGAGAATACCAGTCCAAAGCACAAGGGCAGGGGAAGAGTCACGATGATGATTATCCTCGGGGCGTCCGCGCGTGCGTGTATGGTGTATGATGGCGAGTGAGCATTTTTGCACCCACGGCCGGCCCCGACGCTTGGCTTTGGAGCCTGGCTAAGATCTCACCCATCTCGCATGAGAAAATCCTCCTATACTACCGACGAGATTGCCGTGCTGCTAAGACCGTGGGACGTCTCTCGGGCGCCTTGGCAGCGGCCAAGGTTGCGGTATTGGCTAAGGCCGGCCCATGTCCGGCGATTTTCAACGGCCTTGGCGAACCTGCAGGGAATTCGGAGCAAAGAGGACACGACACGTCTTGGCGTACCGGCCTCCCGTCAAGACGTCAAGACGTCAAGACGTCGAGCCTGTATGAGGAAGGGAGGGAGGGAACGAGTCGCACGACGCCATGTCCCTTCTCTGATAAGCTTACTTGCTAGCTCAGCCACCGGACAGGTTCCCCTCCCACCCTCACAAGTTCCAACGTCGAGCACAAGGGACACTGGGAGGGACCGGCCGTCGTCTCGCCAAGCTTTGTTTGGCCTAAGGGCCTAATGACCTGCAGAGTCAGTCACCACCACCGTACGACCAGTGGTCAACTCTAAATCCTGTACTACACACTCTGTACTACGATGTATCGTGGTTGTGTGACCAAGTTGGCCCGCGTTTAGCCAAGTAGCGAGGAGCAGGAGGAGCATCATGGCGGCCGTGGCCGAACATGTCATGTTTGGAAGAACTTTGCAACGCGCGCGTTTCTGCTACGCTACTGGAAAGCCGGCCTTTTCTATAAAAGACGGCGAATGCCGCCGTGAAAAAAATCAAAGAGACCAAATTGGACTATTGTTTGATATCCAGATCCCAGAGCACTACAGCATCCTCTTTTTTTCTCGATACTTTTATTGTTTCTACCCTGGCCATCCTCATCTCGTGGCCCTGCCCGCGCCCCCCAAAACCCCCTTTAAATCACTCAACCCTTTGTCTTGGTTTGATTTTCCCATCCCACAATGTTGCCCAGTGCAGTTGAAAAGTCCACGACTATGGACGACCCCCTCTGTCGGGACAAGGGCGACGTGTCCGGCAGCCATGAGCACGTGTCCGGGCACGGCAACCTCCCCGGCTACTCGTCTCTCAAGTACGTCTGCTCAGAGGTGACGGAGCCAGTGTCGGGGGCCACCAAGCTGCGCAAGATGCTCCTCGAGACGGAGGAGCTCGTTGTCTGCCCCGGTGTCTACGATGGCTTGTCGGCGCGGACGGCCATCGAGCTGGGCTTCAACGCCATGTACATGGTATGTGGCGAGACCACCACCACCTGCAGAGTCGGGGTATTCTAACGCATTGCACCGCCCCTTTTTCCAGACAGGAGCAGGCACCACGGCCTCGAGGCTGGGCCAGCCAGATCTGGCCATTGCCCAGCTCCATGAAATGCGCGAGAACGCAGACATGATTGCCAACCTGGACCCCTTTGGCCCCCCCCTGATTGCCGACATGGACACAGGCTACGGAGGTAAGGCGCGCTCCGTCCGTCCGTCCCCCCGGACGTCCAGGTACTGAACGCACACGGCCCAGGTCCCATCATGGCTGCCCGTACGGTGGAGCAATACATTCGGGCTGGAGTTGCCGGCGCGCATCTCGAGGACCAGGTCCTTACGAAGCGCTGCGGCCACCTGGCGGGCAAGAAGGTGGTCCCGCGAGAAGAGTATTACGCTCGCATCCGCGCAGCCCACGCGGCACGAGTCCGCATGCGATCCGACTTTGTCCTCATCGCGCGCACGGATGCGCTCCAGTCCCTCGGCTACGACGAGTGCATCGAGCGCCTCCGCACGGCGCGAGACCTCGGCGCCGACGTCGGCCTCCTCGAGGGCTTCAAGTCCAAGGAGCAGGCGGCCAGAGCCGTCAGGGACCTGGCCCCGTGGCCGCTGCTGCTCAACAGCGTCGAGAACGGCGCCAGCCCGACCATTACCGTCGACGAGGCCCGCCAGATGGGCTTCCGCATCATGATCTTCTCCTTTGCCTGCATCGCGCCCGCCTACCGCGCCATCAAGGAGACGCTCACCTTGCTCAAGACCAAGGGCATTGTCGGCACGCCCAAGGACCTGACGCCCGTGCGCTTGTTCGAGGTGTGTGGCCTGCAGCACTCAATGTCGGTGGACGTCGAGGCGGGGGGGCTTTCGTTTGCGAATGGTGTATAGCCTCCATGCTGGGCCGTTGCTGGTACGATATGATATGATATGATATGAGACAAGGCGTAAAAGAAGAAAATGACGTCTACGTTGATGACGCTGTGGCCAATTCCAAGACCTGTCCAATGAATGACGTTGCTCAATCGCCTCGTGATGATGTGGTGCATCGCCCTCGCCCTCCCCGGGAACTTGACCGCACTGCACTGGCTGGTCACGCAAAAGACGAGCCGGGAGGGACCACGAATCATGGCAGTTGCTCCAATTCGCGGAGACGAGATGATGATAAGAGTCAACAACACCCGCAGGTGGTGGGCATGGCAAGTTGCATCATGATGGTTGCATTCAGGCTTACCGTCGCTCTGGCTCCGTGTCTGATGTAAACTCTGGAGAATATGTTTCCGCGTGTCGCGGATGCATCAGCAATACAGGTGACTGACGTGAGACGAAGGCTGCCCGGCTCCGTCCACGTCCACTCCGATGAGACATTTGCGAGACGATTCCACCTGCTCAACGATGCGACGCGTGGGCGGGCAAAACCGGGCGCGGCCAAACGTTGGACTCAGTGCCTGGTTTCTTGGGAAAGAAGCCCGAATTCATCAATATGCAACGGTCGATCAAGTAGGTGGATGACTGGGTGTTTCTTGAAGTAGTATCAACCCCGTCTTGGGCAGCCCCATGGACCACGAGTCCATGTATGATTCAATCTGACTCGCGGCTTAGCCATTCCGCCACGTTACAAGCAAGACGACGACTGGATTCGCAGAGCAGGCCCAAGTGATGTCACAAATCTGTGGACTCGCACCAACGCAAGGGGGAGGGAGGACAACTCGGCTCACCCCGTCCTGCCTCTAGCTCTCAGGCTTCTCATACAACACGGCCCCTCGGTAATGGAAACATCAACAAGGATAGAACGCCGGCCTGTTTTTCAGGAGAATCAGCACAGACAACAGGTGAGGTGAACGTCCCAGCACGGCAATCGCCAAACCAGTCCAGAAAGTCGATAGTCGCTCCGTGCAAATAGGGAAAACACGTCCCTGGAGAGAACGAAGACACACCACACACATTACGTATGGCTGCGTTGAGGCTGTAGCGAGCTCCGGCCCAGCGAGTCATTATGCGCCGGTCCCATGGCCGCCATCACTGCCGTTGCAACCTAGCCTTACACCTTTTCGGACCAGCACGCAAATCGAGAGCCTGTGCTACGTCCGAGAATATAGTGCAGGCAAAGTTTTCATTATATAAAGCTCGTTCTCAGGACAAATCACGCCTGCTTCGCGTCGCTGCGCTCGTCACAATGACGCATGACGCATGATCGAGGGATGTTGGCGTCGCAAGTACCGTACGACCCGTAGCCGGCCCGTCTGGCAATTCAAGGCACGGAACCTGCTACTCGACCAAGCAGACACATGCGTTGGATCGCCTCGGACGGCGCAAGCGTCGTCGAGTTGCTCTTTCCGGGAGCGCCGCCAGATGCAACCCTCGGCCGGGCCCGGGACCCCTAACCTTGCAAGCTTCCGGTGCGGCGCGAACCAATGAACGTGAGACGACGGGCTTTGAATTACCGCATTAGGAACACGTTGACGACTGACACATGGACCAGGACGGAGTTTACTGCCAGGAAGACGGTCGTGCGGGTTGCCTGGGGGGGAGTTCGAGAGATGAATTGCACAGGCTCAGGCTCAGGCTCGGTCTCACGTCGTGGCTCGATCGACACTTGTTGCCGCACCATAAGGCGCTCCGTCACGCATTTATTCGACGGTATAGCGGTGGAAGTGGAAGTGGAAGGGAAGTGGCGGTATTTGCAGCGTCTCGTCGTGACCTGTTGTGTTAGCTCCGCAAAGTTGAGCGAGGCAGCACCCAGGTTTGTGGTGCACCGTCACAGACACTGGCTGACGTTCTCTTCTTTTTTCCTTGCAGTCACACAGAGCCTTCACGTTGACACGACGGGGCTTGTAGTCGCTCCGGCGGCCTGGCCCAACAAACGCAGCGGTGGAGGACAACTACGTCAAGAGACGACGGGGATCTTGTCCCAGGGCACCCCCGGAGAAGGAATTGAATGCCGACAGAGTCACGATTGTCCGAAAGTGTCACTTCTTGGCCGCATCGTCGACGATGCTTCATTTCAACTGAGGCAGCGTTTGAAATTGCTCCTCTGGGACGCGGCCAGCGCTCGATGCAGGCCAGCAGACGGACAGTGTCCACGTCAAGTCGAGACGGACCGCTGCTCCCGGACGCGTTTCGGATGCAGCCTTTGCATGTTTCGAGCGCTAGTCCTGGGAATCCAGTGGTGTCCAAGCCTCTCGGAGACGCTCGAGAGCAGCAGTCTGCCCGCGGACAAGGCGGACCGCGATGCCACGGCAGCATGGGAACAAGAGGCGGAGTGACGGGAATCACTGACCGTGGGCGCTTTTGACCGGGAGGCACGCACGTAACGCACAAGTAAGTACGCGCAGACGTACGTACCATGTACGGTTGCGGCGGTGGCGCATGTTGGTGCTGCAACGGTGAGAAGCTGACCTTGTCACAACAGCATTGACATGTCGACGACGACGGCAGGCTAGACAGTCTCTACAAGCTCGACATGCAGTCAGGCAGGTCAGGTGTGTTTCAGACAAGGACGAATCCTTTGGTCTGTTGCTGCGCCGGCTGCTCCATCAACGGCTTCGAAGCGGGTCGGGAGAGAGATGCTGCTGCAAGGCAGGCAAGCAAGCAAGCAGGCAGGCAAGCAAGCTGTCAGCCCCTCATGGCGTTATTCCCGCTGCAGATGTATACTCGACACAGAGGGGGACGGGACACGATTCCCGTCAGCAGCCACGGCTTACGGCATTTTGCACAAAGCTAGTGTCGCGTCCAAAGTTGGCGCGCTCCATCGGTCGTGTCACGGTGCAGCAGGCCCAAGTTGACGGCAGAAGAGACGGGGGCGGAGGGGGAGACGGGGACGGGGACGGGGACGGAGACGGAGACGGAGACAGAGGCAGAGGCAGAGGCAGAGGCAGAGGCAGAGGCAGAGGCAGAGGCAGAGGCAGAGGCAGAGGCAGAGGCAGAGGCAGAGGCAGAGGCAGAGGCAGAGGCAGAGGCAGAGGCAGAGGCAGAGGCAGAGGCAGAGGCAGAGGCAGAGGCAGAGGCAGAGGCAGAGGCAGAGGCAGAGGCAGAGGCAGAGGCAGAGGCAGAGGCAGAGGCAGAGGCAGAGGCAGAGGCAGAGGCAGAGGCAGAGGCAGAGGCAGAGGCAGAGGCAGAGGCAGAGAGACAGACAGAGACAGAGATCAGAGACAGACCGGCCGGTGGGCAAGTGCGGCAAAGCAAAATGCAACGTCTCGGAAACATGTGAAGACCCTCAAAATGACAGGTCCCGAAATAGACATCGGGTCTGGCCTGGCCATGGCTCTGGCCAGGACCCCGTACTCACGCTGCAGGGAGACGTCATCGCGTCCACGGCATGGAGGGCTGCGTAGCACCAGAGCGCATAGGGGGACTGTCTTGTGGACGCCGACGCGAGGACAGGAAGGGGACGGGCATTGGCGTGGCAGTCAGCCTCCGTCTCTGGGCATATACGTGGCCGGCATTGCGATGGACAACCTGGCGGCGGCCGAGCAACCGACGGGCGAGGCTCGAGGCGAGGAGACGGCAAGATCATGATGCGAACCCTTTACGCTTGGACAAGCCCCGGCACACACACGCACGCACACGCATGCCAGATGCAGACATGCACGGGAGTGGAGATGAGGTTGAACAGCTCAGCCCGCAGCGTTCAGCGGGCTCAATCTAATGCCGAGGCGGATTGCCTGGCGTCTCGGAGGTGACGCGGCGGGAGCTGGGGCGAGCATCGCCAAGTCGAGCCCCATGAGGGAGGGCATCCGTCCATCCATCCATCCATCCATCCATGATGCATCCATGCAGCGATCCCCGGCTGCATGGGGACGTGAGGATGTGCAGGCATGCGTGCGTCCCAGTGTCCAGGGCCACGTCCGAGACCACGTCCGCGGCGCATCTCCAGGCATCTCCCCGGCATCTTGTGCTCCATCTCGCGCGGCCCTGCCAGCCGGGATGATGATCCATTGGGTGCGCAGAGTATCGGGATCACGTCTGGTGCCATGCAGTGCGTGTGCTACGCACGCTTTTGCGCGTGTGGTGTGCCTCTTCTTCTTCTTCGTCTTCTTCTTCTTCTTCTTCTTCTTCTTCTTCTGCTTCTTCTGCCTCTTCTTCTCCTCCCCCTCCTGGTTCCCCGGTTTCTGCCCCCCTCGGTCCTGTTCCTCAGCGGGCGCTGCAGCATCTCGCACCAAGACACGCAGACAAACAATGACGGGACGGGACGGGACGGGACGGGACCGTGACTGCTCGAGGGCCCGAGGCTGTAGAACGCAACCCGTCACCGTCCGTCACCATGACGAAGCCGTGGCCACGGCATGACCATCACACCTTGAGACATGGCCGGCCGTCATCTGACCGGGTCGGGCCACCTGTTGTGTATGCTGAATGCCGTGTGCTGGATGCTGGATGCTGGATGCTGGATGCTGGATGCTGGATGCTGGATGCTGGATGCTGGATGCTGGATGCTGGATGCTGGATGCTGGATGCTGGATGCTGGATGCTGGATGCTGGATGCTGGATGCTGGATGCTGGATGCTGGATGCTGGATGCTGGATGCTGGATGCTGGATGCTGGATGCTGGATGCTGGATGCTGGATGCTGGATGCTGGATGCTGGATGCTGGATGCTGGATGCTGGATGCTGGATGCTGGATGCTGGATGCTGGATGCTGGATGCTGGATGCTGGATGCTGGATGCTGGATGCTGGATGCTGGATGCTGGATGCTGGATGCTGGATGCTGGATGCTGGATGCTGGATGCTGGATGCTGGATGCTGGATGCTGGATGCTGGATGCTGGATGCTGGATGCTGGATGCTGGATGCTGGATGCTGGATGCTGGATGCTGGATGCTGGATGCTGGATGCTGGATGCTGGATGCTGGATGCTGGATGCTGGATGCTGGATGCTGGATGCTGGATGCTGGATGCTGGATGCTGGATGCTGGCCGCGGCGTGTCTGGTGTCTGCGCCTGGCTCGCCCCGTCGATCCATCTTGGGACGGAGCGTTTCATGTTTCATGCCCGAGCCGGCTGCGATCTGTTCCGTGACATGGACGTGGACGCGGACGCGTGAAATGTACGGGATACCAAGCTTTCCTCTCGCCGAGTTCCCCTCTCGCCCTCGCCGCGCACACGGTAGCAGTGATACCTGCAGCCAAGACCAAGGAAAATATATGGAGAAGGCGCACGGCGGCACCAGACGGACGGGGTCCAACGGGCTGCCGTCGTCTGGCTGACACGACGACACGGCACGGGCAAGCAGGCTGGATGCGTATTGGCAATGCGTCCTTGCCATCTCCATTGGCCGGCTTTATACATGCCAACGTGAACTGAGGCACACGGAGGACCAATAATGCAAATTGGCCCCGCACACGCACCGAGGGCGCGGGCAAGCATGCAAGCACGCAATGGGAAGGTCAGGATAGGACAGGATAGGACAGGATAGGACAGGATGGGATGGGATGGGATGGGATGGGATAGGATGGAGAGCAGGCGCTTGCTTATGCGGATCCCCTCAGCCAAGGCCCGGGCAAGGGTGAATGCACGAGTGACATCGTAGATGGTTCCTCGCTGGCCAACAGACCGGGGGCACAGGCTTCTCGGTCAGCCCGAATCAGGCCGTCCGCTGGCAAGCTGCTTCTTGGATACCAGGGCGGCCGTGGATCGTGCATCGTGCATGGTGCATCGTGGGTGAGCGGGTATAACATATAACTTTGATCTCCAATGCCAGATGCGTCGTGTTGGTCGTCGCCGCCGCCGCCGCCATGAATGCCCTCTCTGCCCTCTCTGCCCTTTTCTGCCCTCTCCTGCCTTCTCCTGCCCGCTCTGCCCTCCATCCTCTCCATCATCCCCGGACCAGAGCCGTTCTCCGTTCCCTCGCGCCGCCCCCTGCCCGGGCCATCATCTCCTAATCTCAGTCTCAGTCTCAGTCTCGGTCTCAGCCTCGGCCTCGGCCACGGTCACGGCCACGGTCACCATGTCCGACCTGACGGAGCAGTATCCCGAGTACAGTCGGACCGCGAAGCTCGACGCTCTGCGGGCCACGCAGTACGGCTATCTCGACGAGCAACGACACATCTACCTCGACTACACCGGCGCCGGGCTCGCCGCCCGCTCCCAGCTCCGGGCTCACAGGAGCCGGCTGGACGGCGCAACGTTTGGAAACCCGCACTCGGAGAACCCGACCAGCCGCTCCGCCACGGAGCTGGTCGAGCGGGCGAGGCGCCGGGTCCTGCTGCACCTCAACGCGTCTCCCGAAGACTACCACGTCATATTCACGCCCAACGCCACGGGCGCCGCCAAGCTCGTCGGCGAGTCGTACCCCTTCCTCAAGACGTCGAGGCTCGTCCTGACCGCCGACAACCACAACTCCCTCAACGGCCTGCGCGAGTACGCCCGGCGGGCCGGCGCAAAGATGCGGTACATCCCCATGCGGCCAAAGGACCTGCGCATCGACACCGAGGCCGTCGCCGCGGCGCTGGCTCCCCCCCGCGCCTGGCCGTGGCGCCGGGGGCAGCAGCAGCGGCAGCGGCAGCGGCAGCCCTCGAGCCGGCAGCGAGGCCTCTTTGTCTACCCGGCGCAGAGCAACTTCAGCGGCGTGCGCCATCCGCTGAGCTGGATCAAGCTCGCCCAGGACGGCGGCTACGACGTGCTCCTCGACGCGGCCGCCTACCTGCCCACGAGCCAGCTCGACCTGTCCGCCGTCAACCCCAGCTTCGTCATCGTCAGCTGGTACAAGGTGTTTGGCTTCCCGACCGGCGTCGGGTGTCTGGTCGCGCGCCGCGACGCCCTGGCCAAGCTCGCCCGGCCGTACTTTGCCGGGGGCACCGTCAAGGCGGCCACCGTCGCCGTCCCCTGGCACGCGCTCGCGTCGGGCGAGGCCGCCTTCGAGGACGGCACCGTCAACTACCTGTCCATCCCGGACGTCCACGTCGGCCTGGACTGGATCTCGTCGGTCGGCATGGACACCATCGCCACCCGCGTGCGCTGCCTGACGGGCTGGTTCATCGACCGCCTGCTCAAGCTGCGGCACAGCGACGGCCGGCCCATGGTCGCCCTCTACGGCCCGGCCGACGTCGAGGCCCGCGGCGGCACCGTCGCCTTCAACTTCATCGACGCCCAGGGAAAGGCCGTCGACGAGCGCCTCGTCGCCCACGAGTCCAGCAGGGCCCGCATCTCCCTCCGCACCGGCTGCTTCTGCAACCCCGGGGCGGGCGAGGCCGCCTTTGGCATCGCCGCCGGCACCCTCAAGCCCCTCGTCGGCCAGAACGGCGGCGCCTCCTTTGACGACTTCCTCCGCCTCGCGCAGCTGCCTACCGGCGGCGCCATCCGCGTCTCGTTCGGCATCGCCTCCACGAGCAGCGACGTCGACTACTTTATTGCCTTTGCGTCGGCCACGTACAAGGACCGCGTCACCACTACCGACGGCCTGCCGCCCCGGCCTGGCTGTTGACGCCGCAGACTCTTTCCGAGCATCTTGCCTGTCTTTCTTTCCTTTCCTTTCCTTCCCTTCATCTAGAGGCGCACGGGCGAGTCTTGCAGCGGGTGCGTCGCGTTACCCAGCTCTCGAGGGCTGACGATCCGAACTTGTTGATGGTAGATACCAGTGGTGAATTTTTTTTTTTTTTCCATGTTTCCATTTTTGTGTTTCTGCTTTCTGTACGGCTCAGCTGGGGAACAGGGGACACCGCGACTGCGCCTGGATAGAAAGTCAGTTATTTGCAATTGATGATTTTGTGCCGTCTCCAAGTACGGAGTACCGTCCGAAGCATAGCATGCGAGTTGTGCATGGACGCGCATTTGATTGGCTTCTGCGTGTCGGCTCATCTCACGTGACCCCGACCCGACGCCTTTGAACGGCAAGAATACAAACATGGAATAACTACCAACCGACGACGCATGTAAGGTGGTGAACATCAAAGCTATCTGTTGACAACACCGCACGAGTGGAAACAAGATGATGTCCCGACACTTGCATCCCGAAACTAGCGGCGGTTGGGCACTTCAGTCGGTCGCAAGCAACGAGGCAATTCTGCAAGTCGTCGCGCCCCACGAGAAAACACGACGTTGAAGTCTCTCTTGGAAATAATACACGGACAGCACGTACGGAGCTTGCACTGCCTGCCTCTCTTGACATTTTCTCGTCCTCGCAACAAGCACAGGACACCCAGGTCTGCGGCGATGCCAGGCCCCGTGCAGACTCGCTCGCGACAATTCCCACTTTCCGCTAGTGTGGATGGACACCGGAAACAGCAATACATGATGCCGGTTGTCGCATCGCTTGCCGTGCCATTTTTCAATTGCTTGCAGAGAAACCTGCCCCCCCTCGTTTATATTGCTCCGGCAGTTGAGGCCGGTTCCAAGCTGGGAATAACACAACATGCGCCAGCGGCAGGGCGGCCTCGCAAATAACGTCCCGCAACGTCATGTTTCAACCAGCGCGCGGAAAGAATCCAGGCAAACGCGGCAGCGTCGCATTCAGGGCTGTCATTAGACATGTGAAAAAAAAAAAAAAAAAAAAAAAAAAAAAAAGCCCTCCCATGCTGTCCTGGGAGTGATGTGCTCGCCACCTCTTCCCCGCTTGCTGCCATCAACCCCTGCCTCGACCGTAAACCCTCGACTCGACGCCTTCACGTCGTCCAACTGAGCTAGTGCACCAGCACAGCCATGTCACCGCCCTTGCCCGTGGCAACATGTGCGTGGAGCTACATCGGGTGACACCCAGAGCGGCACTGGTCAACCAGTCGGATCTCATACAATGTGTTGTGTTGCGGCACCGACTTGTCACGTGGAGGACACGGCATGGCATGGCCTCGACTCCGTGGGCAACGCGGTTGAAAATCTTAAATTTCTCCAACGGGCATTTCCCACGCCTACTACAAGTGTGAGACGGCAGTGGACTTTGGCTGGTTCGCAAAGGCACAGCTGCTCCCCCCATGGTGATTGATGCCTCTTCGACGCGGTGGTGCAGTAGCTCCCGACGGTGATTTCAAAAAGATCACGGCTTGGTTTACCCCGCACTCTCTAGGATCGGGAGCCGTCGGATAGGCACACGCCATGTAGGCCTGGCGAGGTGAGGACGACGTGTTGTCCGCACCACCGCTGGATGCCGGCTGTGCAGCCGCCAAAAAAAAGGCGGCTCAAGCGTGGCTGGGGACGGTGTGATGAGTGTGACGAGCCAGGCGAGGACAATTGGTGACGGGCGAGGGGGTCCCGGTTTCAACCTTCAACGGATCGACGTCATGGTTGTTCGCTGGCACTCCGTTTCGCAGCGCAGTTCTTGGGCTCTCGGGAAATATCAGGCCCGACATGCTAACTTGGGCTGGCGACGACAACACGGCTAGTACCAAAACACTAGTGGCTTGCGGCTCGACCTGGGCGAATCGATCAGAAAGAACCCTTTCCCAGGCCGGCCGAGTCCAAGCACCTGTGTGATCGGCAAAATAGCACGCAGTCGGATCTGTTCCAACCATTGTCGAGAGCTTCTCGCCGTCCGTCCACGTCGGACCAGCATAGTATACATGTAGGGGTCTTCTCTCGGCATGGTTTGTTCTCGTGCAGTTCACACCGCAGCCTCTGGCAACATCGTCTGGCCCACGTAGACACAACGGCAATGCTCGCAACCCAAGCCATGACTGTCGACGCGGCTCGGCAGGAACAGTACCTGAACCTTGACCGTACGTACTGGGAACCTGTTTTTACCTGGAAACATTTTGCTAACAAGGTACGTACGCGGCGGTGATGCAGAATTATTCAGTCGGCCAGGGTTGTGGGCGGAGACCCCGTTGCGGAATCTCGACCTCGTTTCGACGCAAAACACGCACAGCCAGCTGGACGTCGTCGTGCAGATGGCCTTGGACGGGAACGCGATGCCAGAATTTCCAGAGACGACTCCCTTGATACACCCACAGACGTCTCAGCAGGACCAGGAATGGACGGGGAGAGGAGTGCGCCGTCCGCAGTCATGGCCCAGCGGCCCCAGCCCATGCTCGCCTCGGCGGCAAAGCCAGCAGGGACGGATGGACGACGAGCACGGCGACGACGACGGGCAGGAGGTGCATGGTGCAGACCCAACAAGCCAAGGGGGAGGCAGTGATGCGGAATTCACACACTCGGACACATGGAGACGCGGGCAGCCATGGGCGTCCAGCTCATTGCCCGTGGAACACCTTTGCCATCAGTCGTCTGTGGCCTTTGGCGAGGATCTCCTGCGCAACAGCCACGACACGGTCAACGAAAACATCTTTGCGGATTGGTGCTGGGGGACGCGACCACGGGCTGGAAAACGACGGGCCCAAGAGGGCTCCTCAGTGCCGAGGGGCAGCGACTCTGGCTTCGGGTCGCCAAGGGGGTCTCCGAGAGGGTCTCTTGCGTCCACGTCGAGTGACGAGGTCGATGCCGGGCATGAGCTGGCGACGCTTGGATTCGGAATGGGATTGGGATTCGGATTCGGATCGCGCAACCAGGCGGCGTGGAGAGGCAGACACGGGGTTTCGTCGTCGACGGCCTGGCCAGTGCTGAGGACGCGGACGCGGACGGGCTCCGTGGACCCCGACGTGGCCTCTACCTGTCGGGCCCTGTCCCTGCAGTACCTGGGCGCGGCCATGGACATGCACGACCGCAAGCCGCTGGCCACCATGGTAGGGCCGCGGCGGGAGAAGTTGACGGAACAGCAAAAGCGGCGGAACCACATCCTCCACGAGAAGAAGCGGCGTGCGCTCATCAAGGACGGATTCAACGACCTGCTCGACATGGTTCCAGACGTCAAGGATCGGGGGCTCAGCAAGTCGGCGATTCTCTTCAAGACGGCGGATTGGCTGGGCAGTTTGGTGTGCGAGAACGAGGCGCTGCGTGCGCGGGCAAGGGCCCTTGACGGCAGTGGCAGAGGCAGTGGCAGTGGCAGTGGCACAGCTGGCCATCAGCCGTGAGCCGCCTGTCCCCGAGCTCTTTAGTGGTCACGTCGCGCTGCAAAACGCGGGGCGCGGGCGTCGTGGCCGACGACGTCTGTGTCTGTGTCTGGCCAAGCGCACCGCCCGCCCCCCTGCAAAACTTGCTCGACGCCGTGCGGTCCCGGGAAACGACTGCTCCTCCCGCTACCGCTAGCACAGCACGCAAGGACATGCGCCGCACGGGTGATTTGGACGTTGGCGGGGTGCGGGTTGGGTTGGGGGAGTTGGCCTGCTCGCGCATCGCCATGCATCGCCACGCATCTGGGGAAGTCGCAGCTCCGCGACCCAGTGGCAGAGGAGGCAACGAAAGCACAGGCGAGAGGGGGGGCCACGCAATGGATGGGATCACCTGCCGCGTTGTTCACCTCAGGTCGTTGCGTTTTTTTTTTTTTTATGATTTGTTTTTGCAACTTATCAATTGATTCACTGTCCAGGGGCGGCACTTTGCAAACAAGTGCCGACGCCACTTGTTCGACCGTCTCCAAAGCAAGCAAGCCTCGAGCTCCTTCCTTCTGCTCTTCCGACTTCCCACTGCGGGGGAGGGGCCAGGAACCGACAAAAACAGCAGGGAGCGACCAAGGCAGCCTGCAGGGGAGGACCGACCGGCCCGGCTCCTGCTGGAATCGCGCGAATCTGGTCCCCCAGATGTCCCCAGATGTCCCACCCACCACCGCCAGGCTGGGCCGAATCACAAGTTGCGACTGGCTGATGGCGAGTCTTGTCCCAACATGGCAGCGGGAGCGAAGAGGGGGCGGTGGGCCGATGCGACCCAAGGCCGGCTACCGATGAACATGTCTTGGCCTGCCGCATCCAGGAACCAAATTGGTCGGTTGGCAAGGGGACCTTTTTTTCATTTTTATTTCATCTTGATCTTTTTGGCACCAACACCGTTTGAGACCGACTGAGCAATGCCAAGACGGCGCCATTCTACAGTCGAGCCCCTTGTATTTCGAGCCCCTGTGCTCCGTATTATTTACGGCCGCGATTGTCCACCTTAATGTTCGGTCGAATAACCGGCAAGTAGCTGGTGCCGGGACCTGTTTAAACCTTGTGACGCTCATTGCGCGAATTCATGCTGTCGGTGGCACCTGTCCGGAGATACGCCCAGCTTGCGGTGAATCGTGATGCAGAGACGCCTGCTGCCAACTCTCCGCAGACTTTGAGACTAGGCTGGTTGGTTTAGCTCTGTTTGGCGGCCAAGACGGCGCGGGCCACGTCTACCAACACCGACTGGGATGGCTCGTCATCATCACAGCTATAGCAGCAAGGTATATGCCATACACGAGGCTGGCTGGCAACTACACCTCTTTACTGTGCCCTCTCGATACGTCCCAGCTGCAAAGCGGTGTCCACGCTCCATATCCATATCCTCTAGACGAAACTGCTGTTACAGACAGAATGCTCCGACCTGATGGCCGCTCTCCGTATTTCCTCGCATGCCAATTGTAAAGCAGGCAAGTCGTCTAGTCGGCAGGGAGCTTGCGGTTGGCCTGCTCCATTACCAAGTGCATCGCGGGTGACCGGACAGTCAAGGTAGAGCAGGAGGGCCTCGAGGCCAAGGAAAAAAACATGGAGCCGAGACATGAAGCAGGAAAAGAAGGTTCAAAGCGAGCTCGAAGCACGACGTCGTGGTCACATGTTGGCACATAGGTCAAGGGCAACTTCAGGTTCAAAACCCTTGCCCGTGGCTGCTTAGCCTCGCCAAGTAAAATCAAGTCCAAAGTCCTTGACCGTCTGCCACCAGGGGCACTGGGAAGCCCCGATGCCGTGAGCAGAGAATCCAGGCTCAGTCCAGTCTTTTCTTCCAGTCCGCGGCGGCAATTGCGGCTAATCATCTCCCCAGCCCCTCTTCCACGCCAAGCAAGGATTGAACGCGTTGCCCAACATCGTGCCGGATCCGCAACAACTTTTCGGCCTTGGTTCCACGCCATGTTCACATCTTGCCAACTCATACTTGGGGGAATGTATCTCCAACAAGAGGTCAGGCTATTCTTTTTGATCCAACAAAGCCTGCCTGCTTCCCGGCGGCCAAAGATGAACAGAATGTGCCTCTAGACTGGTACAAGCTCACGCACCCGCCTCGACTGCTGCTGGCGACTCGACGGCCAGCCGAGCAGAGAACGTCTAAATCATCCAGGCGGCTCAGCGCCGAACCGCCGCAACGCGGCCACAAATCAGTGCGCGGGATGTATCCAGGGAAAATTGCCAGAGGCGAAAGCCGGGCTGCGTCAATCTTTGGACCGCCTCCCCGCCCCGGCCGGTTGGCAGGCTGGTGATCCCCTCGCATGCCTGAGAAGGACGTCATCGGAGCCCCGACCCACGACAGGCCATAGCTGCCTGACATGCCGACGGGTCCAAACAAGGTACCGCTCTGCTAATTCTCTGCCAAGGACCGCACCTCATAGAAGAGGCTACAAAATCTCGGACGTTCGCGAGCACCGGGCCTGGCGAGATGCCCGCGCAGCTTTCCGTGCGTTGTTCCGGCCCAAGGCGACGGCGCGGCGTGGTCAAGACGGGCAAGGACAGCGTGGCCGCAACGCCAAACAGGGTCCGCGCAACAACGCAACGGGCATTAGGTTTGCACTCGGGCATTTATTACATGCGACAAACTCCCCGGGGCCGGGGCCGGGACCGGGACCAGACCACCACGGCTACGTCCATGATTCTGCCGGGCTTTTGAAAGTCTCGTCCAAGGCTGCGTACCCGCGCTCGATGGCTTCCTGGGTGCTCGGGTTTCCCGGCACCACACTACTCGACTCTACACCGTGCTCTACGCAGCATCTCGCACAAGGCTTAGAAGACCAACACCAGCGGGGCGGTGTGAAAGAACTCGCCAGACGGCCTGGAGCACGACATGGCTCAATTCAACATGTAACACGTTGGTGTCAAAAGCGCGTGTGATTGGATTCTTTCGATGCCGCAGCCTTTTGCCCGAGGTCTCGTGACCACAAACGTTTAAACCTCGTCACCAGCGTCCCAGCAACGGCCACGCAAAAAGCTAGTGCTTTGTGCAGAAGCCACTGCTCCGTGTAGATGGCTCGATTCCGCGTTGAATTGGTGGATAGAGGCCATCACGAATCATGCGAGGCAGCTGATTTTCATACGACCGAATCTTCTAGGCACGCATCTGGCTTCGGTTTGGCAGCCCGCCACTGTCCACCACATCGGCCCATGGGTGAATCACAGTCTGAGCAGCTCCGGCGCTGTTTCAGGGTAGTCTGCCCGCACGCGAAAAAAACACAGCCAGGCTCAGACTTGGTTGACCGGTCCACGTGGCAGCTGGGACACGAGGTACTAGTAGAGTGACGGCGAGCGACAAGACGCAGCCCTGACAATGTTCTTGGGGAAAATTGTAGGACCCCTCGGTCCCGCAGGGCATCGCAAGTCAAGTCACTACTAGTTAAAATTGCCCACTCGATGGATCAATCGATAGACGGGCCCGAGCTAACTCGCCCCCAATTAAACCTCGACACCATTGGCTGACGCCGACAAAACTAAACGGATCACGGACGGGACGGATGCTGTTGGCGCCCAAAGTGGAGGGGATGGCGACGCTGCCCCTATTCCTCTTGGCTTTTGCAAAACACCTCTGTTAGGGAATTGCTACACGGGCATGACACTTTGGCTACACGGGCATGACTCTTACACGGGCATGACTTTTACCACTTCTGATTGGTCGCATACTTTCTTGGCCCCACAGATACTTCCTCGGAAAGGCGGTGTAGCCAACTTCACTAACAAGCTCCTACATCACCATGAATTGCAGTCACTTATCGTTGTGGGCGCGATTGGTCTTCTGCTATCTTGCAAGCCTGCATTTCGGATTAAACTACCGTCCTTGTACTGTTAGCCAGTAACTGTCAAATACTGGCAAAAGACGTGATGTGGTCTACTTAATTTATTGCCTCACAACGATACAATCTGGATCTTCGTCATCACTCTTAGCCAGTTCCCATTGACTCCTTGTCCTGCGAATGTTTCGTTGCGTCCTCCGTCCACTGTACCGCACGCCTGTCGTATTCCCAGCATTTAGGACTTTAGAAGGTCTACCTGGCCCTTGCTGGGCTGAGATGCCAATTTGGCCACCAGTTTGTGTGATGGTTTCTCGAGTAGCTTTATGCACTCTCCTAGCAAGAGTTGGCTTATTGAGACTTCCTGGCGGTCGACCTCGTCGCCCACTTGGTTGATTATCAGATCGGCTACTTGATGTAATAGCTAGGCTTTCTGGGATAACCTGCGCTGTATTCTTTGGCCTTCCACGTAGTGCAGTGGCAACTTTCGGGTCAAGAATTCGTCGGTATGGATCTTGAGATGCCGATTCCCGTAGTCGCCAGCGTGGGTGGACCTCCCATTTAGTGAAACGTGTGTCAGAATCTAGCTTTGCGTAGACTTTATGATAGCATGGGATTCCCAGCTCAATAGAGACCGTACAGTCGTCGTCGCAAAGTCCAATAGAGTCGGGGAAGGGATTCTTCCCCGTCGGCAGAAATTTGCGAGCAATACAGTATTGCTTGTTGATTAACCCAAGTCCTTTCGATGACATGGTTGTTCGTAGTTCACCAAGATAGTTTCCCATCGAACCTAGGTATTGTGGAGCAGTCAGGACATCATCCTGTCCACAGGCATCCTTAAAGGCACGTTCTTGGTCATGTATCATATCCTGCATTGCCTCGACGAGTCGGTAGAGGTGGCTCATGCCATTTAATAGATAGCTTTTGATATTATTGTTGCTTGCTTCTGTGCCGGACGTAACTCGGATTCCGAAGTTACGATAACGACGGATAAAGCAACGTGCCCATTGAGCACTAACAGGCATATAAGTCGAGTAGAGGTATTGTAAGATCGCTCGTTGGTCGTCGAACTCTTTACAAAGATCTCTCCATGCCTGCTCAAACGCTTCCTCAGTCTCGGCATAGAGAACCTTTTTCCACATTAAAACAACGCCTTGGTAAGTATGAGGAATCTTATCACTACTCGACCGATCTTCGATCAGATGCTTATCTGTAGTGCTCAACCCGCCATCCGCCTGTGAGGGAATGTCTTCACTGTCACTAGCGCTAGGGCTAGTAGTACTGTCCTCACGTTGGCCCGTCCACCTAGTCTTCGATTTAAGCAAAACGTTTGAAAGGATATGATGAATACAAAGCTGTTGCTGTGCATTTGGAAACTGATCATTAACGGCAGCTTTCATAGCCTTGTCGAAGTCTGTGATGATGACATCTGGTTCCCTGAGTGAGTGTTTTGTAATGAGCTTGCGAACACTCTCTGCAAGGAATTGGAACCCCTCCCTCCTCTCGTTATCTATTAAGCCAAATGCAGCATTGAACACAGTTCCAAGACAGGTTTGGCCAGTAGCCTGGAATAAAGGAAGCTTGAAGCGATTAGTGTTATATGTGTTATCAAAGCTAATAACCTCGGGGAAGCGCTTCCACATCTGTAGACAGTACGGAAAGGTCCAGACAAGACCAAGCAGTCTATCTGGATCATCATCGGCCCATTTCGCGATGTATGGGATCTTCTTCTCATCAAAGAGTTTGATCAATGCCGCAGTAGGTGTATAGCCATTTAGCTTCTCTCGGTTAATGAACGAACGGGCATTATAGATATCCTTCCGCAGGAGTGTTGTATCGGGGAATTGCTCCTCAACCATAGCAGCTACATCACTGGCTCGAATACCCGCGCGACGGCTTGCTGACTCGATGGTTGCTTTAACTGGTGTAGTAAGGCGGCGGTGGGAAACATGCGCAGATGGCGTAATACTCCGTTCATGGTTATGCTGGTGATGTTTCGGGTCTCTATGTTGTCGAAGAAGCCACTTGCCTTCCTCTAGGGCTTCAGCAATTATCATCCATTTGCAATCACACTTCCGAGACCTTCGGGTTCGAAGACCAGAACCCCCCGAGGCCCGAGATTGTCCAAACCGGTCGCATTGAATGGAGTACCTAATCAACCGTCCCTTATAGGAATATTTATTCCGCCGAATAATACCAAATCCGTTCTCCTTTGCAAATGCGTTGGTTGTTTTAAAAAGAACTTCGGCCGAGGGCGCTGGGTCGCCAGGGATTATTGGGTTCGGAATTGGCTCCGGGGCGGGAGATAGAGACTGTCGCATAGGCGAGGAACTAATATTTTCGGGCGTCGGTGATATTCGAGGAGGTTGTGTGGGTGACCTACGAGGTGGAGAGTACGGTGGAGGAGAGTCATATGCTTCGAAACTTAATGGTGACCATCCCCATCTCTCTCGCCAAGCTTGTACACGTTCGTATGATCGAGCAAGGTCTACAGTTAGCCTTCGACCTTCGCCGGTAACCTCTCGTACTATGCGCATTGCGGACTCGAACTCGGCTCTTGTCCTTGTTGGGAGATGCTGGGCGGATGGGGGTGATTCGGGAGGTTCAGAGGCGAATGGATCAAATTCTGGGCCTGGTATAAGCGCTCTGACTCGCTGGCTCCATCTTTTTCCACGGAAGAAGTCATTTTGAAGATATATCTCATAGTCAGATCGAAGGCCCCATGCAGGCTCATGGCGGCCCTGTGAACCATGGGGGTGTGGGAGACTTGAAAGTGTTTGCGGGAAAGAGGCGAACAGGTTATCGAGTGCATTTTCGTCCCCGAGGCCGTAGAACTGACCGATACTCGTAGCAGAGCTACTCGCGGATTGTGGTCGGTCTTCAACTGTGGAAGGACTAGATCTGCGTCGCCGACTGGATTTGTGTCGCTTTCCTCTTTGTGATTGATCACTGGGACTAGGGCTCCGCGACCTGCGAGGAGGTGTGCGAGGCAAAGACATTGACGTCTTGAGAAGAGAACAAGATTGTAGTGAAAGAATTGGTCGCTATCTCTACAGCATAGGGTGCCGTATTATGGTTTATTAAAAGCTACGAAAATGAAGAAAGCAAGCTCGAGGGGGTCGCCCCGACTGCGCGACCACTGGGTTGCTGCGTAGTAGCTTAGCCGAAATGAAGTAATTTACACAGAAGCAAGGTTAAAATGGCCCAGGTACTTGCGGCTGAGGTGGCAGAATCCAGCGTCGTTAACAGAGACAATGCGACCAATCAGAAGTGGTAAAAGTCATGCCCGTGTAAGAGTCATGCCCGTGTAGCCAAAGTGTCATGCCCGTGTAGCAATTCCCTTTTTAACAACCCCCGGTAATATCAGACACGGTGTCAATCTGCATGTAGACATGTCATATTGGCTCCCAAGGTTCGTCGAATGGCGCCCAGGTGATCCCCCTTGCTGCGTTATCTAAGTGAGCTCGCCCGCGTGTGCTGCAGACACATGCCCCCAGTTACCCTACCCGTTTTACGGAAGTCCACTTGTAATATGTCTGTCCATGGTCTCTGGCAAACTGTACGCACTTGTCTTTCTGCTCGGTGTTCAACTTGCATCCCGCAGCATTTAAACACGCCTCTCTGCGGGAGCCAAAAGCGTGTCTCGGCACCTACAAGGACGGCATCAACGATTACGCGCTGCCACTGCTCAAGACAACCCAAAGACGCCATCATGTCTATCATATGCCTTTCCATCCCTGAGGGCCTGTTCTGCCTGCCCTTCCATTTTGACGTAGACGTAGCATTCTCCGACCAGTTTCCGCTTGTCCTTGGACAAAATAACAGGCACACCGCAGCCGCACAGGATGCACAAAAAGCCTTTCTTCTTCATACCCTCGGGGCCGAGACCGAAAAGCTCCTCGCCCGAGCCGCTCGAGCCCGTGGCAGCGGTAAAGAAGACCCGGTTCATGGTCGACGGCATAGTGCTGATCGACATATGAGGTTGTTGGCGGGCGGTCGAAACGGCACCAAGACATCAAGGCACTGTTACCATGCACTTGACATGTCTTGGCTTTATCCTTGGTAAATCAAGGTGCGTCCAAAGCCTGACACGGCTGGTCCCGTGTGTCTCATCACAGTCGAAATCAGTTGTCGGCCGGACTACCACTCAATGGGGTAGACAAGGAGGATGCAGATTTCAAAATAGCCTCCTTGACGCTATTTCCGTGGCGTTACGTCTACGTATGTAATGTTGAAAACTCACTAGACCTCAACTAGCTTGTCATCGGGCCCCCGAAGAGATGGATTGCTTGCTGCCACGTCCGGACAGTCGTCCCTTTGCGGACAGGATGCAAGTTGAGTTGCATTGCCGTGTGTTGAGGGCCAATTGCGATGCGCCAGAGCATCTTGGATCGACGGCCGCGGACGCCTCCTCTGGCGAGGGTCACGGTCACGGCAACGAACGTCATGGATGAGTTCTGCATGTGGCGACTCGGACCGGACGCAATGATTGAATGGACAACACCCGCCGAACCAGTCGATTGCAGACTTGGGGGGATGTTTCGGCTCTGATTCGGAAAGGAGGCCGCAGATGTACTCAAAACCGGACCTTGGCCGATGTTTCGGCGCACAAGACGACTGCATTACATGTTTTGCTGCCTTTGCTCTACCGAAAGAAGAGCCCCGTGGGTATTCTTCATTGGAACAGTAACCTGCCGAGGGCGGCAACAAAGTCTACGCCTTGGTGACAGGCGCGCTTGATGTGCGGCACACTCGGCCCAGCGTCATGCAGACTCGGTCTGGCCGCCAGACAAATTCCGTCATGCCAGCACGACCGATGAGACAGGTCGGTGGCAGATGGGAATCGAGTCTCATCTGGCGAACTCTGCAGACGCGGCCCCCAGCCGATGCCCGAGAATCAAGCCACATCACTAGCTACTTGTACCATGTCTAGACGTGAGATGGCTCCTCCGACAGGCGCATAGACTCTAGCAAGATACATTTAATCACACCGCGATCTCGAAGCTGTAATGTTTGAGTGTGAGCACCCAGATAATGAATGCTGCGCTCACAGGCTAACATGGTGAAACCTCGCAGAGCATGACAGGCACGCACTTCCAGCCCGGGACGCCATCCATATCCCTGGATGCTGCTGGGCTCGTCGCACTCGCCGACCTGCGCACGATCCAGAAACGAACCGTCTTGGCCGGGACCTCGTCGCCGCTCGACATGTTCGTCCTCGCCGCGGGTGTTCACATGCAGCACAGTTGGCAATGACGCGTGACTAGAGGGGAGTCGGCGTGATTGGCCTCCTCGTGCTTTCTCGTACGGCAAGCTTCTTCGTCATCCATAAAAGAAGCGAGCCGGGATGGTTCGGACAGTCAGAGCCAGATGCGCGGGGCGACATGCTCACCCTTCTCAGCCAGGACCGCTGGATCAGGATGCAAGGCGAGGTCGACCATCTCAAAGCCGTCACGTCCGGCAAGTGGCTGCAGGACGGGACGGCGTGGCAGAGCTACGTCACGGCGATTGCTACCGTCGTTGCCTGTCTCGGTGCTGCTTTGGCGAGCCACGTTTCGCAGTTTGGCAAGATCCTGCTCATCTGTCTTCTGACAGGGTCCAGCGGCCTGGTGGCGATAGCCAAGACATCTACGGATGTGCTGCAGATGCACGGCTTCCTGGTCAAGGTTCCCCGGCGGGATGAGTACGGGCGACGACTCGGAGTTGCTCATGAGCTCATCGTGAAGAGTGGCCGCAGTGACTGGGCGGTGCGAATCCGGAAGGTCCTTTGCCGGGTCACGAGGGAACTGCCGAGGTTGTCATGTGCTGTATGGGAGACACGTAGTCTCGACTTGAGGGAGGATTATCTTGGTACATGTGTGCGACTTGAGCTCAACGGACCAGACGTCGCAGCACTCACGCGTAAATAGACGATGAACCAACAGTAGAAGCACGTGTGGGTGCGACGGTCATGTGACCACTCTCGTGACACACCGCATTGCTAGCCTATTCCATGCCGGCGGAGGCATCGACAATCCCAATGGCCTCTATGTGGATGATTCGTACATGCTCATCAACCGTTGGTGGTCGTCCATGCGGCTTTTTATCACGACGTCGCCCGAATCTAGCGCAGTCCCTGGCGTGATAAATAAAGCACATAGCAGAAAGTCGAGCAAATAGGGAGCAAATGGTTGGATATTTTTTCGGCCTCCGCCACAGTTGCCAAGCCACACAGCACCCGGCCCAGTCACGGCCCGTGTGGTGTTGTGTGGGGCGGGCACCAGGGGTCAGCACCCACGGCCCAGGTCCGACTTGTCCAGCACCTTGCCATGTTCTTCACGGACGCGACGGCGCCACGATGCGTCAATACAATTGATACAATGATCCGTCAAGTACGGAGTACAACTACGCCCCTCACGTTTTTTTGTATCCACAGTCAGCGCGACGTGAAGACGATACGGGGGGCTGGCTCGAGCTCAGCTGATGAGCCTTGTGACTTGTCGACTTCTCGGTCGCATCAGCCACATAGCGGCAATACGCCGCCAGGCCAGTAGTACAGTCGCACATTAGCTTGCATCTGCAAATGCTGCTACTATGATTTTCCTAATTTGCATTCTGCTGATTTGCTGTAGCGCTATATATCTTTATAATTATAGTTAATTGCTATATATATCTTTATAATTATTATTAACTTTAATATTATATAAAATACTTACTTAAACTTATATATTTACTTATACTCTCTATAGATATATATATTATTTTACAATTTTATTTTATAATATATAAATTAATATAAAAGTAAATACTTAGCTATTATATTTTTATTATTTAAGTAAGACTTATCTTTCTTAACCTTTATATTTCTTTTTTTTCTTTTATAAACTTAAACTACTTTTATTATCTTATTAAATTATTTCTAAACTAGTTTATACTACTTAAAAAAAAATATCTTATAGATATAAGTTATTATTATAATACTAGTAATACTTAAACTTAAAGAAGCAACTTGCTAATAAGCTTATCTTTAAGTTAAAATTTAATGCTATAAGTCTTCTTTAGTAGAAATAATAAAAGTAATAATTAGAACTAACTTAGAAATAATTCTAGGATAGCTAGCTAATTTTATTCCCTAGGGAACTATTCTACTATTTTAAAGTAAATAGTATACTATATAATTAAGTATAATACTAACTAGATATATATATAAATTAATTCTTATTTATTTCTTATAGATATAGCAATATATAATTAAGTTATTACTTTAAAACTATTATATCTAATTTTATAAAATTAACCTAGAGAAGTACTACTTTAAAGATAATAAAAAGCAATTAAATAATAACTTAACTTATAAGTTACTATAGAAAATAGTTTAAAACTAGTTATATAATAATTAATATTTATTTTATATAGAATAGTATCTAGACTATATTAATAGCTAAGCGCTATTATAAATACTATACAAGCTTATATAGTAAGGCATAATGCCTTCTAAGGCAATTCTTATTTCTACTCTTATACTGCTAACTACTACTGCTATTACTACTACTAATACTATAGTTTAAACTATATATAATAAAGCTGCTGCTGCTAATACTAAAGCAGCAGCTACTATATACTGCTAACTAAGAATAGTATATATACTGCTTAAACTACTTATAAAGTAATTAGAAAAGAGATTAAGACTAATTTTAATAGAATACTGCTAAGCTGCCTGCCTAGTTGCTCTTGCTCTTGCTCTCGCTCTTGCCCCCGCTCTTGCTCTTGCTGTTGTTGTTATTATTATTATTGCTTTTACTACTGCTGCCGCCGCTATTATTGTTATTATTATTATTATTATTACTATTGCCCCTGCCCCTGCCTCTAAGCTTCTCCCCCTCTCTCTCTCTTTCTAAGGACAAGAAGGATAAGGATAAAGACATAGAAATAGTATAAACTACTTACTAAATAATTATAAACTAGTTAAGAACTAATTCTAGCTAATAGAATTTACTTAGTATATTACTAAATAATATACTCTTTACTATATAGCTACTATACTATAAAGATAGCTTTTTTATAATTACTAAGATATATTATATAATAAGTTTCTAGAGGCTAAATATAGCTTATAATATTTATATATTTCAATTATAGTTAATTGCTATATATATCTTTATAATTATTATTAACTTTAATATTATATAAAATACTTACTTAAACTTATATATTTACTTATACTCTCTATAAATATATATATTATTTTGTAATTTTATCTTATAATATATAAATTAATATAAAAGTAAATGCCTAGCTACTATATTTTTATTATTTAAGTAAGATCTATCTTTCTTAACCTTTATATCTCTTTTTTTCCTTCTATAAACTTAAACTACTTTTATTATCTTATTAAATTATTTCTAAATTAGTTTATACTACTTAAAAAAAAAATATTTTATAAATATAAGTTATTACTATAATACTAGTAATATTTAAACTTAAGAGAGCAACTTACTAATAAGCTTATCTCTAAGTTAAAATTTAATATTATAAGTCTTCTTTAGTAGAAATAATAAAAGTAATAATTAAAACTAACTTAAAAATAATTTTAAAATAGCTAGCTAATTTTATTTCTTAGAGAACTATTCTACTATTTTAAAGTAAATAATATACTATATAATTAAGTATAATACTAACTAAATATATATATAAATTAATTCTTATTTATTTCTTATAAATATAGTAATATATAACTAATTTATTACTTTAAAACTATTATATTTAATTTTATAAAATTAACCTAGAGAAGTACTACTTTAGAGATAATAAAAAGCAATTAAATAATAACTTAGCTTATAAGTTGCTATAGAAAATAGTTTAGAACTAGTTATATAATAATTAATATTTATTTTATATAGAATAGTATCTAGACTATATTAATAGCTAAGCGCTATTATAAATACTATATAAGCCTATATAGCAAGGCGTAACGCCTTCTAAGGCGATTTCTATTTCTGCCCTTATGCTGCTAACTACTGCTACTATTACTACTGCTAATACTATAGTTTAAACTATATATAATAAAGCTACTACTACTAATGCTAAAGCAGCAGCTACTATATACTGCTAACTAAGAATAGTATATATACTGCTTAAACTACTTATAAAGTAATTAGAAAAGAGATTAAAACTAATTTTAATAAAATGCTGCTAAGCTGCCTGCCTAGTTGCTCTTGCTCTTGCTCTTGCCCTTGCTCTTGCCTCTGCTCTTGCTCTTACTGTTATTATTATTATTGTTATTGCTGTTGCTGCTACTACTACTGCTATTATTATTATTATTATTATTATTATTACTATTGCTCTTGCCCCTGCTTTTAAGCTCCTCTCTCTCCCTCTCTCTTTCTAAGGATAAGAAGGATAAAAATAAAGATAAAGATAAAAATAAAGTTAAGAATAAAAATAAAAATATAGAAATAATATAAACTACTTACTAAATAATTATAAACTAGTTAAGAACTAATTCTAGCTAATAGAATTTGCTTAGTATATTACTAAATAATATACTCTTTACTATACAGCTACTATACTATAAAGATAGCCTTTTTATAATTACTAAAATATACTATATAGTAGGTTTCTAGAGGCTTAATATAGCTTATAATATTTATATATTTATTTTATATAGTGAGTTAGTTAAGATTAAAATTAAATTAAAAATAATTTATACTAATAGCTATAAAATGCTCTCTCTCTTACTCTAACTAGTCTTATAAAGTTTAGAAATATTTTTATTAGTTTAATTAGTTTAGTTAGTTTATTTTTTATTTTTTTTTTATTTTTTGTTTTTCTTTTGTTTCTTTTGTTTTTTTTATTTTTTTTTCTTTATTTTTTTTTCTTTACTTTTTTTACTTTACTTTTTTTTACTTTACTTTTTTTAACTTTACTTTTTTTAACTTTACTTTTTTACTTAGCTTTTATATTTTATTTCTTTAAATTAGTTACTTAAGTTATTTTATAAATAAATTAAAAATATATTTCTTTAAGATATATTTAGTAAAGAAATTATAAATTATTTATTATCTTAGCTTAATTTAGTTTTAAAATAGTTTAAAAGTAAT